GCTTTATCGGCATTAGCTTTGCTTTCAAAGAAAAATTGATTTTAAATTGAGTATTAGTTATACACAATTTAAAATCTCATCATGTATTGCTAATACTTTAATCTAGATTACTCTGGAGTGAACGTCATTGATATTGTCGAGTATAAATTGACGATTAATCAGGTTTGAGATGTCGGCAAAGAGAGTGGAATCTGCCAAGCTTGCAAAGAAATTGCAATGACAAACTAGAATTAAGTACAATAATACTAGCAAATTTTCTATAATATTCTAATGAAAGAGAAAAAGAGTGATGATAGTTACAATTACGTATAAATATATTTTTTATTTTTTATAGAGCGCATCGTGCAATCAGTCTTCTGACTATGAGCAGATGAGTTGTAGGATGATTTGCGGGTGGAGATATTCCTCATTAGGAATATCTACCATAATAATATTAGCTCAGTCAATGCTGCTGAGCTCCAGGGTTCTTCGTCTTTTGAGTCGGTTTATAAACTCCGGTAGGGTGAGTTGAACAGCTAGATGGTTAGGATGATTTTCCAGCCTAGTCTTGTACTTCTGAGCGTATACTTTTATTTCCTCCTTGACTGTAGGTATGCCCCGGTGTTCATGTACTTCGGCGTTTCTTATGAACCAAGGCGCGTTGCTTATTTGTTTAAGGATGTAGTTTTGTGTTCTTTGAATTTTAGTTTTGTTAGAGTCACATGTAGCTCCCCACAATTGTATCCCGTAGGTCCACACGGGTTTTAAAACTGAATTGTAGATAAGGAGTTTGTTGTCGATGGACAATTTCGAGTTTCTACCCAGTAACCAGTACAGCCTCTTATATTTAATGTTGATCTCACGCCGTTTTGTTTCGATGTGTTTTTGCCATGTCAATCTACGATCCAAGTGCAGTCCAAGATATTTACCTGTGTCACTCTGAGGCAGTTCCTTTCCTCCTAGATTTACAGGGGGGCATGTCTTTCTTCGCAGTGTGAATGTCACTTGTACTGATTTGCTAGTGTTCACCCTAATTCTCCACCTATCGAACCAGTTGCTTATTTCATTTAGGCTTCGCTGCAGTTTTAACGTGGCTTCTTCGGGTTGTTTACTCGAAGCTAGGATTGCCGTATCGTCTGCATAGGTTGCAATGTTGACTTCAGAGGTACGCGGTAGATCTGAGGTAAATATGGTGTACAGCACTGGGCCAAGTACAGAGCCTTGAGGTACCCCTGCAAGTATATCATGAAAACCTGATGTACAATCCATCTCTTTCACTTGGAATATTCTATCGGTGATATAAGACTCTAGGATTCCATAGAAAGTATGAGGCAGAAGTGACTTGATCTTGCATAAGAGCCCCTTGTGCCATACCCGATCGAATGCTTGTTGAACGTCCAGAAAAGCTGAGGAGCAGTACTCTTTTAGCTCAAGGCTATTGCTTATCAATTTACACACCCTGTGAGTTTGTTCGATAGTCCCGTGTTGTGCTCTAAACCCGAATTGGTGATCTGGAATTATAGAATTTTCATGCATAGCTTGCAAGAGCCGTCGTAGTAGTACCTTCTCCAGTACTTTAGAGACGATCGGGAGAAGACTTATAGGTCGGTAAGATGAGACGTCATGTGGCGATTTCCCGGGCTTATGGACCATAATCACCTGAGAGACCTTCCATAGCGCTGGAAAGTATCCAACACTTATAATCCGGTTGAATAGGGTCGTCAAGTAAGTTATAGCCTTACGAGGTAATTCGAATCTTCCAGGGTCACTTGGCCAGTGAGTAGGCTCGGGGGTGGAGATTATTGTTAAGTGGTTTTTATCAACGCATTTTTTAAGTTCTCTACCACGCGTGGTAATCAATCTCGACCCCCAGTGCAGATGCTTTGAATTCCAATCTCCACCTGCTATGAAGCGTGGACCCAGACTGTTAATATATGTGGTGAAGTGTTCCTCAGTTATAGCGTGCTTTGGAGGACAATAAACCGAGGAGATACAGAAATTCCCATACAATTACGTATATATAAATAAAAAAGAATCGCAGTATAAGTTGCTAAGCGCAAATCTCTAAGACGGCTGGACTAATACTCGTATATATATTTTTAGAATTCCTTAAACTCTGAGGAAGGATTTTATTGGGGTGAAAATGTAAAAAATATTTAAAAAAAAATAAGTTTTGGTTTATTTAGTACTTAGGTTTTTATTCCGGAAAAACGAACAGTCTCTATGGGGTAGCACAGTTAAATATTCCAAACGTTAGTTTATAGCTACTAAAAAGCTAGGCTAATTCAAATTACATATTATAAGGCGAAACGAAGATCGTGACAGCTTAAATTTATCAGTGGCTTCGAGGATTGCTTGATGCTCCAATCGGATCTGAATGAAGTGACTTCATGGTTTGTCTCCAATGGTATGGAGCTAAATGTCCGAGTGTCATTTCGTTCGTTTTGCTAGAAAAAGGGATATTATAAATCACAACTATCATATTGGTAGCATGTTACTTCGAGAGGAAAGAGTGATTCGTGACTTGGGGGTACTTTTTGACAATAAGCTAACGTTCTCAGAACACCAGCCTTGCGATTCTGTAACTTACTTTTCTCTTGCTCCCTCCTTATCAGAATGCCAAATCGTAAAATGACTGCTTCACGACTGATTTGAGCGCGACCGCCGCTGCGAAAACCGCAGTGAGAGTTCGAAAAGTGAGTTACAGAATCGCAAGGCAGGACTTTATAATTAAGAAAGCTTCTAGAATGGTTGGTTTTGTCATAAGAAATACAAAAGGGTTTCGAAGCATCAAATCGAAAATTCTATTATACAACAGTCTCGTGCGGAGCATTCTAGAATATGGTACAGTTGTATGGAGGCCGCATTATGCGACGCATATGCTACGACTCGAGAGCTTACAAAAGAGGTTACTGTGGAATCTGCTTTTCTCCAAAGGCATCTCGAAAAAAAAGTTGCCAACGTACGAAATCAGGCTGGCGCACGTTAAGATGTTGTCATTGCAGAATCGCAGAAAATTAATCGATATATCGTTTTCAGCTAAGATATTTAATAATTAGATTGATTGCCCGAACCGTCTATCTAAATTTAAGTTTCGTGTACCCCAGGCATCCCATTATTCAATTTGTTTCTCCTTTCCGTAGAACGCGTTTTGGTCAAAGCTCACCGATGTCCAGATTAAGCATTCTGATAAACGAGCTAGGTCTGGATATCCATAGTTGCTCCCCTCACACTTTGAAATCGATTTTTGTTTAGTTTTTTGTAATGTTAATTTTTTTGCTTAGTAATTGTTTTATTTTGTAATGTTTGTTTTGTTTAATAATAATTTTGATTGATATTTGTATGATCTCTAAATGTATGTCATGTTTGCCTTCAGTTGCTTGTCACATTAAAAACTGTATTTTGTGTTTGTTTTTACCAATGTATCAGTGTGCCGAGCGTTGGCAAGCTGTATCAATAAAAAAAATCTGCAGTGATCTCTTCTTCCTAACGTTTTTTTCTTTCCTTTGTTTTTAGTTATATGTATTTTAAATTAATCATATTTATATATGTATATATGATAAACCGTACTTATTTAGAAACACAAACTTTCTTAAAGCAACAACGATGATTCGGCATTGTTTTCATTAAATATTTCAGTACGAATAACTAGTTGTGAAGGGATAACGTAATGCTAAACCAGTTGCACGTTCCCTCGGGCTTGGCCGCCGCCAAAATATTTACGTCGACCCTGTCGTCTATTTCAGAGGCCTACATTTTCAACCACTTATGAACCTAACAATTTTCATTATTTGAAACAAATTATCTACGTTAAAAGCATTGTGGTTTTATGAGTGAATATATGATTTCAAACTGCACTTTACTACTTGACTTTCAATTGATATAAATTATTAAATTGTAAATAATGGATATACATATGAAAATGTTTTAGCGGGCACACGCGAAGAAAGGTTTAGCACCAGACCAAGAGGGTCAGACATAAAACGCAAATTCTTTTTTCTACGGCAAAACTATAAAATGTTTACCGCACCTACCTAATAAGAGGATTGACTTTTGGCCCCTCTTGAGCCACTGAAATATCTGTCTAAGTTTACCATTAATCAACGTTCCATTTGGTAATCCAACCCTGGCACGTTTCTTTTATGTAATCGCTTGACCACGAACACCTCGTATACCGTTATACTTATAAAAACTTCGTAAAGTGTTGTTCATGAAGACGTTCAATAGTTATTGGTAAACGTATACGTTTTTGAAAAAGAGCGTTAGTTGTTTCATATGAAATTATTATTTTATAAGGTATTGTAAAGACTACGTTCACTGAGTCCCGGCTTCAAATTTATTTTCCATAAACCCGTACAAGGATTAACATTGCATATGGAAAAAGGATTATTGCTACAGAAGCGGAGGTCGAATGTATGACAGTGGGGTTGAGAATCGCACCCTTAGCATTAGGCAATCACGCCTTTAAATTGGAGAAAATATCTATGATTATTAATTATTATGCTCTGCGCTAAACCAAACCTTATCTTTTAATGAAATCTTAAAGTGCTGCGACAGTATATTGTTGAGTACATTACTTAATTTCAAAAAATATAAAACAATTACAAATTCAATTAAAAACATTTATAATTATTGTTTTTTCAAGAATGCAATTATTTTTAAAATCTCGTCAAAGGCTCCGGATTTACTAAAGACGTTTTTTAGATCTTAATCCTCGGAAATGGCGAATAACATATGTATTCCTACAGGCATTCCTTGAAATGGACGTATTCTATAAACCACCCATCCCGCCTTCTCGCGCCAAAGAGCTTGAGGTTGGAACACATGCAGCATTGGATCCACCAGGGAAAGCCCATCTCTCTGCACCTGCGATTCCAAAAGAGGTTCAAGCCGGACCAAGCCGTGAGTTAACCCTGGATCCAAATGCAATGACACAAACACCAGATTACGATGACACAGGCCTTGACGATTTGCAACGCAATTTCGCCAACCTTGAACAAATCTTGCAGAACTCAGACACAATGATTGATATGGACGCTTATGTAGAAGAGGAAATACCACGGTCACGAAAAATTAAGGCAGCCGGAAAGCGGTTCCTCAGGTACGTTAATCACATGAATATATGTATACTTTAGAAACACTCTGTCCTAAACAGCCTAGCAAGTTGTTCTATCATAGATGCAATCTTAATACCAGCGCGTGAATTTTAACAGCTTCTGAAGTAAATAATTAGTGATCAAATGATACATTTTAATAAACTTTTTATTATGACCCACTACTATATTTTAAATGTATTTTTAGACGAGGACTATCCGTGAGCGCCGAAAAAATCCCAGTTCGAGAAAGAAATATCAAACGCGTGTCCACATTTAAATCAATGAGAAGCTTTATTGGTCTCGGAAAGAACCGATTACAAGACAGTAGTGAAGATGAAGAGTATCTGCTCGAGTCTCTGCCGGGACCTTCGAGTGAACCAGATGTCGTCTACAGTCAGATCAGATCCTCTATGTCGTCTGACGAACCATTACTCGATCCACCTTCACCAGTTGAAACACCGAAAACAAAGAAAATGTTAGTTATTATTCTATTTCAATATAGTAAACAGTTGATGAAAAGCAATTACGTTTTAGAATTTTTAAATTTTTCGAAAAATTTTTGTGACAGCTTTCGTGCTGCTGTACATTTTTCAATAACACGCGCAATGTTCACATGTTAGAGATTTCCACGAAATATTTAATTAAAACATTTTCAGAGATTTGAAATTAAATGAATTCATCAAATGTTTGAATAAACAATGGCTTTAATATAATTAATTAACATAGCCAGTAGTGCTCCACACCATTCCTACAACTCGATTAACTTCTTACCGTAACCAATACACAAGAAGAATAACTGAATTTCATATATGAACTATTAAATAGCGAGATTGTTTTTATAAATAGAATACAAAGTTTATGATAGATCACTAATCAAGGAAATCATCAAGGGATAACAAATATTAACTTTTTCACAGTTTAGTAAAATCTAGACACATAATAGTTACGTTATAAAAATAACCACCGATAAAACCTAATGATCCTATTAATGGTTTTCGATAACAAAACAATTTATGAGTAGGTAAATAGCGCTTGTTTTTCTTAGTTGTGATTTTTTTCTTTTAGGCGTGTTGCGATGGATATGGCTGGGCCCTCGGCTTTAAAGGCAGCTGACTTCCAAATTTGCATCACAGTGATAGAAGCTCGGCAATTGGCCGGGCTCAATATGGACCCCGTTGTTTGCGTTCAAATCGGCGAACATCGTAAATACACCAGCGTAAAAGAGAGTACCAATTGTCCTTATTACAATGAGGTAAGTATAGTAAACAGCAGAACTCAGAATCGCTCATTAAGAGTTGACTTAAACCACTTAGAGAATATTTAAATAAGTTCGCTAAATCGAATTGGTTGGTGATGGTTTACTCTTATATGGTTTTCGTTACTAAGTTATACTGTTACATGTAAATAATTAGTTACCATTAGAGAGTTAGCCTTGTTAGAATAATATCATGAATATAAAATCAAGCTTGGATACGATTGTGTACTAGCGAAAATTTCATATATATTTTTGATTAAGTGATACATATATAATTTCTGTTACCGTGGTTTGATCAACCTTTATTCAATAGTAATAATTCAGGTTCATCAACTTTTTAGGCTGATTACTTTTTACTAATTTAATTGCATAATTAGGAATACATTCAAGTGTCAACCCATGTGCTTTTGCGTCTATGGGGATACTTTTACTTAGCGACATCATGGATACTTAGAATGAAATTAAAAACATAGAAACAAATAAACATGTGCTATAATTCTAAATTAAAACTGAAGTGAATAATGAAAACATACAAAGTCTCAAATGCATTCACAATACAACCATGGCTTAAAACTGCCTTCAACGGAAAAGTTCTGAATTGCAATAGAACTTCACTCATTCGGAATGAAGTCTCGTTATGAGCCTCTCTTTGTTGTTCAGCGATTTATTCCTATAACTTGTTATCATAACTGCTATACCTGGTTTAGTTTCTCAAGATTTTTATTCAATAATAGAAACCGATCTCGTTTATACAAGATACATAATATGTATTTGCAATTGATATTACATTGTACCGACCACCTGTAATTTCTCATGAAATACGAAGACTTGTCGCCGTGCTAATGTAAACAATGTTAGACGATAGCTTTGCTTACGTAATTAAAATATCTAATTGTAACGTAGTACCTATCATATACATTTAAAACCTATGAAATTAAAAGAAAAGGGACGAACTTTTACCAAATCCTTATCAACATAATTATAAACTTAATTATGAATAATAAATCAACGAAAAGAAAAAGTCAACTAACCTCCTAATTGATTTTCAATGAGGCAACGAATAGTCTTCAAGCACAAGTTCTGGATCATGAGAACTGTCCAGAGCTGGCGCTGGTGCCGCTCAGACATTTAATTAAAAGAAATACCTGTTTACGCCTATTGATCCAATCATCTCACATTAAAAGAAAAACAGTGCTATAAATCGTAGTCATACGTACCTGTCCCCACACCTCAATACCATTCACTAAAACTTATATTGCTTTAATACATATGTTGTCTTGTATAATTTAATGTTAATGCTAAACGCATCTATGGGTGGAAGTTGTTTTTAAAGATTACATTAAACTAGACAAAACTTCTTCATGAACGTATAAAAATATTTAGGTATAATTTATGACAACAAATACTTATATTTTGCGCATCATACCACGTTTATGGTACATTAAATAAATCTAAACGACACAATAATAAAAGAGTATAAAAGGGTAGAAAACCGACTAAAGAAAAACAAAAGCTTGAAAAACAGATTGTTCTATCACATACAAATACTTCATACAATAAAAAGTTGTATTTTTACAGTACTTCGTGTTCGACTTCCACATGCCACCAATCATGCTTTTCGACAAGATAATAACGCTTTCGGTATGTATATATTTCATAGAATTTAAGCGAAGCGAATTCATTTAACGCCGCACCGCAAATGTGTGTTACTTGTAGGAATGAAGTAGATTGTAATCTATAACAATAAGTGTTAGCCAATACTTCAAATCCTTAGTGCGTTTTTATGCACTCAGCACTTTCATATTTACAGTAAACTAGGTCAGCACGATTAATCGCAGAGCTTACTGCGTACTCTTGAAAGGTCGACTGCAATTATTGCTAAGTATCGTATTAAGCGCTAGCATTACCTTAATTAGGTGAACCGTCTTCACATTTCTTCAACTGTTTCAATCTCTAGCGTTAGATTTTTGCGACGTGTCCCGTGCAAGACGTCATATGTTTCAGGTTCTACACTCCCGCAATATTCTCCGCTCTAATAAGCTGCTGGGTAATTTCAAGCTGGATGTGGCAACTGTGTGGAATCAAACAGGTAAGTCGTGTACGTGTGCTGAGCGTATTTTAAATATTTAATATATAAAAATGTATTGAGGATAAAGGAACGTAAAATAATTGTTCTGTTAAATTCTTTGTGAGCCACTCTTTAGTAGGCTTATTAACTATCGCACAATGTACCTTAGTTGTTTAAACTAAATAAGGCATTACATTATTCAACCTTTATACTAAAGTGGATGAAGTTTGCGTATAATGTTTAATTTAATATCTGTCATACAAGATTCCCACTTAACTAAACACGAACCGTTTTGAATCTGCCATTTTAATAAACAATCGATGACGATGACAAGAAATTGACAATTCGTTTAAATTCCGGAAATGAATGCAATGGAAATCAAACATTCATTTATATATCAATGAAATCACCCTCTAAAATTAAATATTTTAAAAATCCAGTTATACTGGCGACGAGGTCCAAGGTTTTAACGTATTGCATATTTATTTTACATTGTATAGTCGTTGTTTACTACAAATTTAATTTCTGTATAAATAATAAATAGATGACGGCTCATTGGTCTAGTGGTTAGTACCCCTGACTGCGAATTCATGGGTCCCGGGTTCGATCCCCGGCTGAGACAAACATCGATGTGATGAGCATTTGGTGTTGTGCTTAGGTCTTGGGTGTTTAAATATGTATTTATATGTGTTAGGTCTATCTATGTATAATATGTATGTATATCCGTTGCCTAGTACCCATAACACAAGCTTCACCAGCTTAGCATAGGACTAGGTCAATTAGTGTGAATTGTCTACTCATAAAAAAAAAATTAACGTCGTCATAGTCATTAATTGGTGTAGAAACTATGCGGACTATATTATATATCTTTAATTGTTTAATCAAGCCTTTTTTTTAAACTTAGTAGATTTTGTTTTGCACTTTTGCATTTACCATATTTTATTTTCCCTAAGATCCACTTAGGAAGCGATCTGGCTGGATGAGTTCGCTTGAGAGCGATAAGGTCCTCGTTGCCGTCTTAATTATTATATTTAACATTGTACCATTTCTGTACTGAAACAATGTCTTACATGTTCTTAAATAGGTTCACCATATATCCAAGCTGATGCGTAAAACGTCAGCCTAATTTTTGCTGCCTTCTCTTACCTAAATTAGCCATTAATGGCTCGTAAATGGTTGGCACTTCTTTAGTTTAACAATAATGACTGTTAAGGAAGTACATTTTATTATAACGATACGGGATTCTTATATTAGTTAATAATATAATCCCATATGAAATGATTAATGAAATATACAGTATATTTTATTACAACTAGCGGTGGCCAGCGGATTTGATCGACTATCCTAGGATCAATATCATTTTGATAAGATCTATAATTATACATTTCATCATAAATAATACTTTAGTGTTTAATTAGAAAATAACAAGTCCATATAAAGATCTAAGTACTGCCCGCTCAAGTTCTATATTCAAATTACGAGTTAAATCGTATCGTTGTTTTTTGCTTTGGAGATCTCAGATGCGCTCTACAATAATATCCATGGATCCAATATCCTAGGAAAGCCGAGCATCAAAGAACATCGTAAATATCATGATCTATTATTACTTCGTGGTATACTATTGTCTTTTATTTATGTATTATAATGGTTACTACGCTCGCTGAGAAGCACGTGAAACTCCCAATTTTATATTTAAAGAAAAAGATTATTTAATTGAAATTAAACTTTCAGCCCTATTAAGTATCTAAATTAGAAACGTTATTTCCCACGGTTTGCTATAATACCATTTCCATTAAAATAAATATATAATATATGTATGTCAGAAACATGTACAGTAGTAAGTTTCGATAAGCATATTGACTAGATGTAATAAACTTAGTTGTAAGCATTAACACACGTTCCATACATTTCGTATAGAAGGTATTCTATGTGAATAATAATTGGAAAGAAAAGTCATTTATTCGTGCTTTCAACACATACCATTTAGGTATTCGGTCCAGTTTATGACGCGGCTTATCTCCATTACGAATTGGCATACAGCTAAGGAGATATGAAAGTCCACAAGTATGTACACAATACACATCGTGGTAGTAATGGAATATAATAAATACATACAGTAATAGTGTAGTGAGTAATAGACAGGTCAGTTCTTTACACGGATCGGGGCAGATTCCCATTCCAATCAATAATTTGAACGGGCTATCACTGATAATTTTGTTAGACAGTCGGAAATGGAAATTTTATTCATCGACAGGCCCATCGGGCCATCACTTAAGACCATGATCTGCAGTCTAACCAATTCACTATTAATATAAGGCATTATTTACAATGGAATAAATATACAATGTTATGTTCGGTACATGGTTAACAAGTTAACGTTGTAAAGCTTAACATGAATTCTGAGAAAAAATAATTAATAAACTGTCTTCTGCTACATCAGCTTCAGGCTATTTCAATCACGTTGAAACATAATATCACTGTGTATTGTTGTTTCATTCTAACGAATGTTTCACTTTTTCCGAGAACACACGGGTTTTTAGTTTAATTCCCTCTCTAGTAACAGACCCTCTGGCAATACATCAATGCAATCAGCGCAATTTTAAATAGAGTATTTTCCTAAAAATACTGTTGTGCATTAAAAATAATTACGCTTAATTAATGCTAAACGAGATTCTAATTTATTTTGAAAATGTCATTTCACCGTTTACGTTACTGTATTCTGTTTATAAGAACACCAGTCAACAACTCAAGATCTTCGTGAACCTTCGTCCATTCCTTGGAATATTCTGGCCTAAGAGCATCTCTAATCAGCAGCTATGTGAGCTATGCAATGAGAAACCAATTGACAGGACTATTAAACGACGAAAGTGAAAGAGTGGGTCATTATCTCCGGAAGGATCCAAGTCACATTGCTAATCAAGCCATTGGAATCATCATGGCAAAAGCCGCCCAAAACAGACCTGCCAACGAAGCATCATTGCAGAGGTGAAGGAATGTAGAACTTCGGATAATCTGGGGGAAGGACCTTAAGTCAATCGATGTTCCTAGTCCTGCCATAAGTTCTGTTACGAATGAAAATGCATTTTTCTTAATGAAGTAATGTAATATTATTATAATTTATACCTACATACTATTTATAGCCTCATATAAAGTCACAGTAAAAAATGAAAAAATATTCTATTCTAAATGGCCACTTTTTGCTTTTACGAGTATACAAGCCTTTAATCTGTTTTGCCACGAATCTTTGGACTTACGCACTGTTTTTTTGAAATTTCGCCACTGCTTGCTTCAAAGATTTTTTTAAGAGACTCAATGTCGCCGTGACGTGAAGAGCAGGGCATGCCCTATAAAACTGACCATAACTTGAAATCTAAAGGCTTGAGGGCCAGTCTTCAGGTCATATAAAGTCCGGAACGTTGGTTTCAAGTCAGGCTTGGGTAGTTCGTGCCTTGTGACCAGGTGCAGAATCCTGCTGGAAAGTCAGCGGTATATTTTTAAACAGTGTATTGCTGAGAGGTTTCACAACATGATCCAAGACTGTATCTTGATAGACTTTGGCTAAAGTTTTCACTCCTTTTTCACAAAAATAAAGATTTGTGACTCCTTAATAAGACACGCCCCATCAAACCATCACCGACGCAGGAGAAGTCCACATTGTACCTTTCCGACCACTTGAGCAGCTTCTTTAGAACTGGGAGCGTACACTTTATCATTTTGCTTATCTACAAAAAGCGAATGTTCTTGTAGAGAAATAATTCGCCACGACCTTTGCAAATAAATAATACAATTAGGAAATAAATCATTCAAATTGAAACTGGCTACAAAGCATTAAAGTTTTCATCAACGCAACGCAATTAATATGCTAATTATAAAACCTATTCTGACTAGACGCGATGATTTAAATCGATCAATTTGTCAAACTAGGATAATACTCGTACGAAATCACAGGTAATTATCAAAACGTTATATTCACATACCTAAAAAAAGCTGTAAATTTATGTTATATATTAATACGTTGTTTGTTTAAAAGGTTATTACCATATTTAATAGTGACATTTGAGCTGGCTCATATATAAAGATAATAAAATAACATTTTTTTTACATAGTACGTTAAACTCCAAACCATTAAAGTTTTCATCAGCGCAACGCAATTAATATGCTAATTATAAAATAACTTTTCACAAAAATTTACATTATTGTTTAAAGTAATTAGAATATTTAATTAGTAAGCAAAAAGACATAATCATAGTCATAAATAATTAATTTTTGGGACATTTTCAGCGGATTTCAATCGAAGATGTATTTATTAGGTACCTTAAAAACCTAAAGTGGTGGGTGACCCACCATAAGCTACCAAACCTAAAACCAACTCATAAAATCAATCTTGATTATATTTGATACTTTATACAGTTTACATCTATTAACTATTTCTAAATGTTATATATTTTTCATTACCCTAATAATTTTTGTCGTCGTCGTTCTTCCAGATTTATAATATTAACATAACACTGTTTAATAAATGTAATTACACCCAGAATTACGATTAGATTATGCAATAATTACAATATTAAAACATTAAAATATCATTCCTCTACTACACATAACCAGTCATAATACCGTAATTAACCCTCACTAACCATGTCCTGCACTTAATTTCTAAGATTTTTTCTATAATAAACTATTAAAAGTATTTGTTACTTAAACATCTTATATATTGCTTTATATAATAGGAGGCATCAGGCAAAGCGGCAGAAGGCTCACCTGATGTTAAGTGTTACCGCCGCCCATGGACACTCACGTTGCTAGAAGGCTCTCAAGTGCGTTGCCGGCCTTTTAATATTATTCATGTTATGTATAACATACGATATACTATATACTCTAGTTTGTACGGAGTTCAAAGGTATTTGTACTGTTGTGTGGACCATCGGGCACCAAGATACCCCTTAGTAGTTGTTTTGTGTTTTTGTAATCTTAGTTTATTGATAATGTTTAAGTAATAACAAAGTTAAAACAAAAACATATATTTTCATAGATAAAGCAACGATTATAATTATAAGATTTTGTTTTGCTCGCGGCGTGAATGTGCATTGCAAAGCGATTTATTTTTAATAACAAGACCCCTTAAGCATAGGGGATGGCAGTTGGTGGGACGACTAAGAAATTTATTTAGGTCTTATTCCTAGATTCGACAAATCCCTTAAAGTCCAAAGAGCCTAGTACATATTCATGTCTGTTAATTTGATATCCTTTTCAAACCTATTCAGTTCTGTTTTTTATGCCAAAAGTTTTGTAAGTCGGATCATTGTGTTTTATATTATATTTTCCCTTATAGTATGCAGAGACTGATATATTTTTCTTTTGGAGAATTTTCGTTTAAGCAATGGCGATATAATTGTACCGTACATTGTAAAGCTCTTTACATAAATTCCTTTTGATTTTAAATTCTCGGCAAGCGATTCTTTCATTTGGCACCTTTATTGTATTTTCTTGTTATGTTACTATTTTATAATTCATTAATATTTTGTTTATGTTATAATGAAAATATCATATAGGTAATAAAAAATAGTATTTATACGCATTGTATGAAATATGTTTTTAAGCGGCACATAAACTTATACTCTTTATTAATTAAAAGTAAAATCGGCTTATTACGATTTTCCGGAATACATTGCTCTATGTGCTATGCACGTATACTACGTCAAGTCCTCAAGGAAAACAAAATTATAACGTTCTATCCACATAATCCACCCAGCTTTTTAAGTTAAAATTCTTATGAAAAAGTATTAAACGGGTTTCAAATATTGTTATACTATTTTGTCAGCGTTATAATGTCGATATGATCACCAGATCGGCAGTTCTATCACAAATGGGCGTTACTTACTGACCCTGACGACGTCACCTCTGGTCCAAAAGGGTATCTTAAGTGTGACATTAGTGTTATTGGAAAAGGCGACCAAGTCAAAATACCACCAAAGAGTGAAAAGGATGAAGATGACATTGAAGCGTAAGTACAAACAAAATATAAAGCATACTATGTAATTGATTGTCCACAATTTTGGGTCGCATAAAAGAAAGCCCTTCCAAACAAATTTTCTTCTCTGTGCAAACGTAAAAACCGCTTTTTGAAAAGCACTCGAAAGAGTTGTGCTTCGGAAACATGTTATAATTGTTCATGAATGTTGTCTACTGCAACATATTGCTTGCTTAAATTTAATCAATTAAATTTTTTATAAATACCAATAGCTTTACAAGCTTTTCCATACCTATTATTTAAACACAATACTTTGTTTATTAAAATGTTATGTTAATAATTTTGCATAGCCGTAGGCTGCATAGCTGACTTCGTAAAATAAATTAATTTACAAATATTTTCCGACCTCGCATTTCGATTAATTTAAATATTATTTACACTAACGAAAACATTTTTGTGTTCACGATTGACTCTCGACAGACGATAAACGAATCAATTGCAATATAAAGAGAGTGTGTCCTGTGGTATCCGTAAATTTGAGATCCGCCGTGCTTAATGCACTCGTGGTATTCGACCTTCATATTTCTGCAAGTTATATTTTAGTCATGATATCTTCTAAAACATCCGATAAAATTAAATACCGTTAACGGCAATTTATAATATATTTGGTTTAGCATGCATATCATGTTGATAAAACCACCACAAAAATAATAATAATTATCCAAATCATGAACTATTTTAGATGTCGCTGATTTATACAATCTGTAGCGTAGTTAATGCCGTGGCCATGATTGTATTTTAAGGCTCAACAATATGCAAAATTTGAATTAAATCTGTTAAGCAAAAATATTCAAATAAAAATAAAAAAGTAAATTTGAAAAGTAAATTTAGTCTGACGTATAAAGAAGTTGTTATGTGTAAAACCCCAATATGAGTTAATAAATGATGTGATCTAAGTCTGAATTTGTTTTTATATACACACAAGTGAACTTAGCGATAATATTTACGTCCCGGTCGTAGGTAGTCATTTATTCTGTCCGAACCACCACGGCAATGAGCGGCGTTGCCGTTTTTGACCGTCTTCTAGTATGAATGAATTTGTAATGGTGTTAAATTTATCGACCAATTTTATCTCAATTTGTTTGTATGAGAAAATAGGGTTTTAGTTAGTTAATTTTTTCTTGTACCGTTTACGATAATATGCATATTACAACTTTAGCCTTGAACTATAAAAAAATGCAATTCCGTTTTTACTACGATGTACAGCGCAAGGAAATTTCTCAATCAATCCCACTTTGACAGAAAGTTTACTAGAGGCTTCTATATTTTTTTCTCTATATTTTCTTTGGGTAGTTCCCAGACTGTTTTGTCGTTGGAGGATATTTCATTGGACCCTACCGTGACCAACTAAACAAACTTTTCAGCTTTATTGGCTGAAAAGTTTGTTTAGTTGGTTCTGACTTTATACCTAAAGCCAACATGGTGACAGTGTTTTTGAAATCAAAATTTTGTATCACATCGCTACCATTATATTTGTTTTAGGAATTTACTGCTTCCGGACGGTGTTACGATTGATCGTCAAAGAGCGAGATTTGTTATCAATATATATAAGGCTGATGGTTTACCTAAAATGGATACCTCTTTACTTGCGAACATCAAAAGCGCATTTACTGGTGAAAGCCAAGACATCATTGATCCTTATGTACAAGTTTCTTTTGCTGGAATGACAGTAAGTACATTTTTAAGTCTATACATAAATAGTAAACTCAGTGTATAACACTTTAGTTAGTAAATATTAATAATATTTTTTTTTAATTTTAATTAATAATGATTGTGTATTTGGTTATAGGTTCCTCCAACCTATATTATTTAGTTTTAATTGAAATAATATAAACTTTTTCTCTTCATATATTATGAATTTGTAAAAATTGGCGACTTCAAGGTTTCCTATCTAGAATTAATAATATTTATTTTTGAACAGGGAAAGACTTCAGTGCAAAAAAACTGTTCTGCCCCAGTTTGGAATGAACAAATTGTATTCACGGAAATGTTTCCACCTCTATGCCAACGTGTCAAAATTCAACTAAGAGATAATGTGGCCATACATCCTAGTATAATCGCCACCCATTTCATTGATTTAAATACTATTTCACATGATGGGGAGAGAGGTGAGAAATTTATACATCTTACTTAAATCTGGTCAAACACGGTGTATAAATACAACTTATTTAATAATAACAATTTAAAAATATTTATTAGAAAGAATTATCCGGCCACGTCTTCGATTAAGTTATTAGATTTAAATCGCTGAATTTCATTTACTTAAACAGACCGATATGTGTCAACTTAAGATCAGGGTATAAAAAATAATAGTAGGATGAAACCCATTGGAAAAGTAGGAGAATATTATAAAAATTAAAGGAAAATGTTAATAATAGTAGTATATTTCTATTTGCAATTTTTTTGATTATGAATGTAACATGTAATCTTACGTTTTTCGAGTAATTAAAGTGTAAATTTTAATAAAAAGCTCAAAATTGTGTAGCATAATTAATTTTTTTTATGCATTTTCTGAAAAGATTTAGCATAGTAATATATATTTTTTAAAACAGCGAAAAGTAAAGATTTCAACGAATAGAAAGCATACCAACTTTTGTTGAATTTTCGATTGAAAATTAGGGTGCTTTTTTAATATTAATTCAAAATAAGGTGAAAAAATAATTATTTCAAATCAAATAAATTACAGCGTATTTAGGACATAAAAAGGTAAGTTTTCAGAAAATTTTGTGGGGAAAAAATAAATTTTGTAAAAGATAAAAATAAAAAACCAAAATTTGGTTTTTGAATTTTTCCCATAAATTTTGAGGTTATGTGAAAAAAGTGTAAATACAAGTGTTCTAGATCTTTTTATTATAAACAACTATGCGAATGGACTTTTTTCCATAGGACTTTTAGTTTTGACAGAAATCGAGATAAACCGTTTTTACCCTTAAAAACTCACCCCCTTCCCCTTCCCGACCTCAGATCGCCCGTAAATTATTTTTCCTTTAATTTTTATAATATTCTCCTCCTATTCCAATGGTTTTCATCCTACTATTACTTTTGTTTTCCAAAATTATCGACCCTGGTTTACTTGTCAGTTGTCGCTCTCGCTGACTATTACTGAAAGCACTCAAAACGTCGCCTTGCGAATTCCCGTTTTATCCTATTTTATTTGATTGTGTAACTCACTTAAGGTTAGGATAATATAAATGTTACACCACCAAATTTATGAATATTATTGAAAAAACTTTGTGGGGGTAGCTTATTTATACATACAAAGGAAATAGTTAAAAAATATAATTACGATACAATATTGTATTGAAAACTTATACGTAGGCTGCACTAAAAGTATCGGGAATGGAATAATACCACTGTCCCTGTTATATTTAAATCTTTTTAATTTAAAACTCCTTTTTTTTAAATCGAATACCATTTATTTTTTTTTAAAAAGATTCTCGGTCTTTTCACAAAGTTTTGTCAAACTTGCTAGTCGTTGAGAAAATGGAATTGACTCGAGAAAATTCAAGAGCGATCATTTATTATGACTTTCGAAGTGGTTTATCACAAAAACAGTGTGTTGACCGGATGATTTCTGCATTTGGTGATGAAGCCCCATCCAAAACCACAATTTATCGCTGGTTTGCTGAATTTCAACGTGGACGTGTCAAGCTCAGTGATGATCCCCGTCAAGGTCGTCCAAAAACTGTAGTCACCCAAGAAAACGTTGATGCTGTGTGTAAGCTGATTGAGGTAGATCGACATATGACATACCGCGAAATTCAGGCAACTTTAGACATTGGCATGAGTCAAATACAAATAATCTTGCATGAACAATTAGGTGTAAAAAAGTTGTTTTCCCGATGGATACCGCATTCGCTCTGTGAAGAGCAAAAAGCGGTTTGCGTTACTTGGTACGTCAGAACTCTCGAAAGATTCCACGCAGGATCCTCAAATGCTGTATACAACATCGTATCAGGTGACGAATCGTGTATATACGCGTACAAACCCGAAACAAAAAACCAGTCACGAGTTTGGGTGTTCGAAAATGAGTTAAAGCCAACGAAAATTGTTCGTTCACGGAGTGTTGCAAAAAAAAATGGTGGCCACGTTTGTCTCCAAAACCGGCCATGTTGCGACTATTCCTATTGAGGGACAAAGAACGGTTAATGCAGAATGGTATGCTAGCATTTTTTTGCCACAGGTCGTGTCTGAACTCCGTAAAGAGAACTGCAATCGCCGCATCATCCTCCATCACGACAATGCGAGTTCTCACACCGCGCACAGAACAAAAGAGTTTTTAGAGCAAGAAAACATAGAATTATTAGACCATTCGCTGTACAGCCCCAACCTAAGCCCTAATGATTTCTATACTTTCCCTAAAATAAAGAATAAATTGCGTGGTCAGAGATTTTCATCACCTGAAGAAGCTGTGGACGCCTACAAAACGGCCATTTTGGAGACCCCAACTTCCGAATGGAATGGTTCAATCAATGATTGGTTCCATCGTATGAAAAATATGTCAAATTTCGCGGAGAATACTTCGAAAAGCAATAAATACATTTTTAAATAGTAATGTTGTGTCACTTCCTTGATTCCCGAAATTTTCAGTGCCGCCCTCGTAAGAGGATTGTAAATGAAAGCTAATATATGATATTTTACAGGATTTCTGCCAACTTTTGGACCAGCCTACATTTATATGTACGGATCTACTCGTGAATGCGCTCTATTAGATCAATCATCTAATTTGAATAAAGGAATGGGTGAAGGGGTGCAATACAGAGCAAGGTTCGTGTTTCACATTATTGTATCGAGCATGCCAATTCATTATTTCATTACATGTCATTGTTTTGTAGTTTCTTTACAAATGTATATTAATAAATAAAAAACCAATGGCTCTATCTCTGGTCTTGGCTGGTGGCTCTCCTCAGATTCTGTGCCTGACTACGTCGAGTTTTTGGGTCTAAGGCATTCCGATTCACATAAAGATAAAACCATTGGTAGGTTGGTTGGTTTGAAAATACTACCTCAGGTATGAGGGTCGCACGATCATGCCATGCCAAGCCAGGCTAGGCTAACAATGCTCGATAATTTGAAAATACTTGACTCTTCGTGATGTTATCTTAATTATTAACACTTATAAGCTGTAATGCTATCTTTAGCGGTATCACGAATGTTGCGTGTTAAGAAAGGAATGTTTGGATTGGGAAATACCCAATCCAATTTGTCTCCGTCCTTCATTCTTTGTTTCTTAATCAAGAATTGTTTTTGTCGAGTTGATCAATGTTTAACATCATATCATTATCCACAGAATTCTAATATCTATACGCACTGAAGTGATTGATAATTTTGAAACGCCATCATCGGAAGTTGAAGTTGAACCAATAATGCCAATAAACGAATTTATCTATGAGAAACACGAGGAGTTTTTCTTGTTCGGAAGCGTCTATAGTGTGAATATGATTGATAAAAAGTTAAGCGATAAGCCGATCCACTTTGAACTCAGTATCGGAAATGCCGGCAATTCGTTAGACGGCCCTCACTCATCGATGAGGAGAGCGCAAGACTTGGCTGTCGAATCTTTAGGTACCTTTCATTGTATTTATACGGTAGCTTGCTTTCAATATTATTTATTTACGGAAATGCTCTCACCTCTATACCAACTCATTAAAATTTAATTTACAGTTAATGTACCTACATATCCTAGTTTGTGTGGGTAGCAATTAGGGACTCCATTGATTTGAACATAATAAATAAACAACAAAATAGGATTATTAAAGAGCGGAAATTTCAATTCAAATTAATACATAATATCAAATGATAGCTTCCAAAAACCTTATACAAATTAAGCGATTGTAATATTTCATCATAATTACTACTAGTCTTACTTTGACTTAATGTCCCATTACCCCTAGATGGGGCAGAGGGCGTCCACAGTGAGTCTCCATCGCGTTTGGTTTTGAGCCTCATATTTCACCTCGCTCCAAGTCTTTTCAGCTCTCTTTGCCTCATCTGCAACTGTACGACGCCGGTTGCTTGGAACGGCCACGCTTCCGCTTTCTACCATTTTATGGGTATGGGAATCTATTGGAATCTCTTCGGAGTGTATGGCCTATCGATTTCCGCTTGCGTCGCTTGATCTGCTGGCTAATCGGAGTTTCTCGGCACTGACTCTCGGTCCAATATATACCTACCCAGAATATGGTGGAGGCAGCGGTTGACGGAGAGTTGGATTCGGTGCGAGATGTCTTTAGTAACCTTCCACGTTTCACACCCGTAGAGCAACACAGATGTGATGTTGGATCCGAATATTTAACCGATTATATTTAACCGAATATTTAATTTATAATTACCGAATTAACCGAATAGTTACTGTTACTTATGCTTCACTAATATATTTTCTCATGATATGTAAGCTAATAATTACTTTATCGGAAATTTAGAGTTTGCATTAGGTAAGAAGGAATTATTAACATAATGAGAGCTCAATTATTCTTAATTTACTTCTAGATGAACTCAAAGCCGATACTGGATACTGGCAAAGCACAAGTTACCCTATGAAAGCTCAGTCAGCTGATAGATATTATTACTACCTACCTTATTGGGACACGAAGCAATGTATGCATGTTCGCAGTATATGGCCCGACCATCGCCGCCGTTTATATAATTCAAACATGTTAAGCTACATAATAGATATATTGGTAAATAAATTTTTTTTCCAGATTTCCACACTTACCTAAACATACATACACAAACACATATTGAAAATAATGTAATGTAAAATTTGTTTTTTTTTGTTTGTGGATATTACATTATGTTCTATTGTTTCAAACGTCTTTATATACGTAGCTTTGTACACTCTAATTTAGTCAGATCTCATTGTAAAGGGCTTGTTTAGTTTGGACAAATATCCTTCAAAAAACGACTGTATATCTAGGCTAAACATTTTGTGTATATAGAGATTAAAATTTTTATTTGCTGAGCGCGGAAGCTGGCTTAATCACGTAGCTTTGAATATATTTTGTAGGAGGATGGAATCACAAACGCTGAAATGGCTCTAAAAACAAATGAGAACTTTGAAAATACAGCTCTAGCATCATTGAAGTCTGTGATGGAAACGGTCACTCACTACTGTGCAAAATATATCGAATACATGAAGAACGGTCCGCCGCTTGGTAATACAAAACTTGATCGAGAAAGAGAAAAGTTATGCATTTATGAAATTGTAAGTTGTTGAATTGTTTAATTTAGTATGATTAAAAAGAAATCAATTTTGTACGACAATATTATTTTATAATAATTTGAATAATTCTCTACTTGCTGGCATATAAGTTGACTTGCGTCATGAGATACGCAAAATATTTTTTTTAAATAAAAGTACATCTGTAAACTTTTTTGCTAATATTTATTATGCATTTAAGGTATTATACGATAATGTATGGTAATTTCTAATTTATTCCTAGGAACAACTCGCCAACATGGCTCGAACACTTAAAGCAATTATAACAAGAAATTCCGTTAAAGACCGACTGAAAACCGCCTACGCCTATATAAATCGATTAAGATATATATGTGAAGACGTAAGTATATTTATTAAATTCATTTTTAAATTCTGGAACACTACTTTGCGACTGTCGTTTAATTTTGATTCAATTCCATTCAATAAATTATTCTATACATTCAAGAAATTCGAACTAAACTACTATTTATTCGATAGTGGTAATGAGCACAAATGTAATTAGGTTTTCTTGTATAACGTTTATTTTTTTCACTAAAAACTGATAACGATGCATTACAACCTTTTCTTATTATATTTAATTACAATAATTTATTACAACATATTATAAGAAAAATATGGTATTAATTACTGTATACAATAATTCATCCTTACATTGTAGTCACAACATGCTATGCCCGATATCTTCATATGGATGATAAGCAATGGGAAGCGTGTAGCATATCAACGCATACCTGCCCGAGACATAATTTATTCAGATCGACCTGATGAAATTGGCCAACTTTGTGGCAAAATGCAAACACTATTCCTAAAGGTAATTAATATAAATTTAAAGGGTCGAACCCTTGTTAAATGTTATTGTTTGTTATGATCACTGTTGAATAGTTATTATAAATAGGTTATTCAGTAATGTATCGATACATTATTTTTTTGTAGTGGCCAGGTAAGAAAGCATCGGCACCAAGCGGTTGGACCGTTCCAGCAAAAATCGAGATCTACCTTTGGCTCGGACTCTTGCAAGACAAGCCGCATTTTATTGATGGCTTACCTCGGGGTTATTCATTAAGTCCAGAATTAAAAAATATAGAACGACCTCGGGCCAACCCGCCGAGCACTATATTCTATTCTGAAAGACATGTAAGTTTAAAGTTTGTTCTACTATTAATGGTGATTATTATAACCTTTAATTATAATTCCAAACTTTTAAACTTACAGAAGTTCCAGATGAGAGCCTACATTTATCAAGCGAGGTCATTAATAGGCTCTGATTCCTCTGGGTTGTCTGATCCATTCGCTAGAGTTGTCATTGAAGATTGTTCTGCGACCACGCAAGTTATTGACGAAACTCTAAGTCCAACTTGGGATGAACTCCTCGTGTTTGATGACGTGATATTATACAGCACAATAGATGAAATAAAAAAGAATGCACCAACTATATCTATTGAAATTTTTGACCAGGATAAAGTTGGAAAATCTGATTTTATCGGGCGTGCTTTAGCTAGGCCACATCTCAAATCATTGTATGAAAAGTACGAAGAACCTGACTTTCCACCTCGTCTCGAGTGGTATAACATTTATCGTGGTGGAGAAAGCGCTGGAGAGCTATTAGCTACATTTGAACTTCTTGAAGTACCTTTAAAACAAGGAACGCTTGAATTACCTGAACTTCCAGAACCTAAAGAATCTAATGGGAAACCACCAGCTGATGTTAATAAAGGTCCGATACTTCCTGTTCCTGTTGGAATACGACCAACATTGTCCAAATACCGGATTGAAGTACTTTTTTGGGGCTTGCGGAATCTGAAGCGTATACATTTGCTATCGGTTGATAAGCCTAGAGTTGATATCGAATGTGCCGGTCACATTATTCACTCCTCTATAATACAAAATACAAAAAGGAATCCCAACTTTTCAAATCCCGTTAAATACATAGACGTGGAATTGCCTGATCAAGATCTTTATCGTCCACCATTAACTATTCTTGTAGTGGATTGTCGCAGCTTTGGTAGAGTCACCTTAGTTGGTACTCATACTATCAATTCCATCCATAAATACATGTATACACCAATGAGCAAACGTGAAAGAGAAATAGAAGAGCGGAAAAAATCTTTAATACCACTTCAAAATGTTGACTTGCATAATAATCGTATAATCCAAGACGATATCATTATGACTACAGATGACAGAGAATGTTGTCCGTTAATTATACCCGATTATCCCTACGGTGCCTCTTATGGCTCAGATGCAACATCTCCAATGCGCAAGAAAATACCTGGATATCCTAAACGTCAACTAAATAGAAAGCGTAAACAAAGCTCGGAGACAATACCGGTGGACGATGAGGACAAAGATTGGTGGTCAAAATATTTATCCTCAGTAGAGAACATGATAGATGAAGAAAAGGACCATAAAAAGGAAAGTGAAGATTTGTTACAACCTTGTCAATTAAGTTACATTGATGAGACTCACTCACCGCGAGATGACCGCACAAGACGGCGTCAAACTGTATCGCCAAAGTCTAAGCTGAGCCCAACAATCGCTAGTATGAGTGAAATACCATATTCCAATTTGGCTAAAGTAAGTTTAATAACATATTTATGATTTCCGTTATACTTTCAATTTACTTTTCTATAGTAATCTCCTTATTTTAGATATATCCACATGAGTTAGAAGCCGTACCAGATTATGAAGAGTTCAAAGACTGGCTACATTCATTTGACCTTTACCGTGGCAAGCAAACTGGAGATGATACAGAGGATGAAAGTCGCATTGTTGGCACATTTAAAGTTTGTAAAAGACTATAATCGTATCATACACATATTTTGATCTTTATAATAATTACACATTGTTTTACAGGGAGCTCTTAAAGTATACAAATGGCCATTATCAAAAAATATTGACGATCATAATTCGATTGCATTCGATCCCAACAATGGATTTTTCCAGGCAGTTCCTAGTAATGAGCCGATTCACGTTTTAATAAGAGTCTACATAGTAAAAGCTACTGATTTACATCCTATGGATTTTAATGGTAAAGCTGATCCATACATTGTACTTCATCTTGGATCACGAAAAATAAGCGATAAAGAACATTACCAATCCAAACAGCTAAATCCTGTGTTTGGACGATGTTTTGAAACCGAAGCTACTTTCCCACAAGACTCCATGTTAACAGTTCAAGTTCTTGACTGGGATTTGCTAGGAAAAGATGATTTGATTGGAGAAACAAAAATTGATTTAGAAAATAGATTCTACAGCCGCCATCGAGCAACTTGTGGACTACCAATGAAATACGACGAGTAAGTAAAAATTATAATTTAATTAAATTATTAAAAATAAAATAAAATTCTTATAATAATTTTTTTAGAGAGGGATATAACCGATGGCGTGACGCATTGAAACCAACTCAGATTTTGGCTAAATTATGCAAAGACATAAAAATAGATGCTCCTGTATATGAATATGGTCGTGTAAGAGTTGGTCGAACGATATTCAACATGTGTATGGACGACCCGGAATTGTTTACTGATCCCGATACAATTCAAGAACAAATGGCATTAAACGTTCTTCGGCGCTGGCATGAGGTTCCCCGTCTCGGGACGCATCTTGTTGTCGAACATGTAGAAACCCGGCCACTTTACAATCCTAGCAAGCCCGGTAATCTTTGTGTACATACTAATTATTCTAATATTAAATGTAAAAGCTAATAACACATGAGTAGTTAAAGTTAATCTGTTTAATTTAAATTCGAACATTTAATTTCCTACGAAGCGAATGCAAAGTAAATAAAGTGTTTTCATTGGGTAGGTATCGAACAAGGCCGAATTGAAATGTGGGTGGATATGTTTCCTATGGACATGCCTCTTCCGGGACCATCCGTAAACATCGCACCAAGGAAACCTAAAGCTTATGAAATGCGAGTCATCATATGGAACACCGATGATGTAGTTCTTGAGGACGATGCCTTCTTTTCCGGCCAAAAAATGTCTGACATCTATGTAAAAGGGTGAGTTGGATTGATTGATTGATTTTCTAAAAAACTATTGTACGCAGCGTAAAAGACTATGGATGACAGTTGTATTGTGTGCTGTGCTGGAAAATATTGTTGCAATCAAAGAAATCTTCTTTAAGATCATTATTCAACGACGTACTAGTTTGTAGGCATTGATATACAAAAAACCCAAGATGCACAGTCTCGAATAAAAGTAACGCTCGAAAGTGTCCCGAAACACTATTTCTGTCCATAACAGTATATGTTACAAGCATATATTATTGCAAAATCAACCTTACGCGAATTGCTTAAAGTTGTTATTACAACGCAGTGTATACGTACTTAAAGCAATAAAATTTTACGACCGACCGTGGTCGGTAGGACAAGGTATTGAGTGGAGTCGAACATGACTTTTTTATTTACAACTATTTAACATAATTTTAAATTTATCCGACTTTTCTGGTGCTTTACAGCGTGAGTGGTCACGGTGACTGAAGACAAAAGGTGTTGGATGTTAAATAGTTGTAAATTTATAATAATACATAACATTAATCCGGTTAAAAAGTTTTTTCTTTAAATTAAAAAAAAATGTTAAATTGGCTACCTCCTGACCCACACTTTATATAGCGTAAATATATTTGTCAAAAACTACACACAAAAAAGTTCAAGAGTACATAAATTTATTTATAAAAAAAACACAAATAAATAACATCGACTCCACTTATAGACGCGAGACTATTTGAAATGAGCGCACAATTTAGAATGTTGCGCTCATTTATTGAGGACGTTTTTTAGACGTTGATTGTGCATCTTGGGTTTTTGTATATCAATGTTTGTAGGTATTTATTTTGAAACAAATAAAATATGTTTTTCGCAGATGGCTGAAAGGTCCCGATGATTGTCAAAGTACTGACATACACTACCGTTCATTGACTGGCGAAGGGAACTTTAACTGGCGCTTTATATATCCCTTTGATTACTTAGAGGCCGAGGAGCGTATTGTCACATCAAGAAAAGAATCCATGTTTTCTTGGGACGAAACTGAATGTAAAATACCAGCTCGGCTAGAATTACAAGTCTGGGATGCAGATCACTTTTCAGCGGATGATTTTTTGGGTAATAAATTAATTGTTAAAAAGACATATCACAAACACGTATGTATTCAAAAACATCAAAATCGCTTAAAGTGTGCAAAAAAGATACCGACTTACAAACATGCATTTTTTATAGTAGAAATGTGAAGTTATAATCAGAGTCTTATTTCAGGGGCTTTAACTTTGGATCTAAATCGCTTCCCCCGTGGTGCGAAATCCTCTAATCTTTGCAGCTTGGAGATGTTACGAAATGACGGTACAGTGCCAATGGTTAACATTTTCAAGCAAAAGCGTATAAAAGGCTGGTGGCCTTTTTACACTAAACGGGACAATGAAGAAATGGAGCTCACCGGCAAAGTTGAGGCTGAAATACATTTACTTTCTCGGGAAGATGCAGAGAAAATGCCAGCAGGATTAGCACGGAGTGAACCAGATCCATTGGACAAACCTAAGTTCGTATAGCTATATTATTTTTTTAATTCCTTAGCTAGAATCTTTACTTCTAAACGCTAAAAAAATAATTAAGATAAAAGTTTTTAAGTTGAAATGAATATAACATTATTTGAGTCATGTTTCGTTACAGTCGTCCTGATGCATCATTTATGTGGTTCTTGAATCCACTGAAATCCATACGCTACATTCTCTGGCACAACTACAAATGGACCATCATAAAAGTCGGAATGGTCATTGCATTTGCTTTAATGATCTTATTGCTCGTGTATGCAGTTCCTGGCTATACAGTGAAGAAGTTCCTTGGAGCTTAAACAAACAGAATATTATGTATCAAGAAGTATCGCTATATCTTTGCTTCATACAACAAATAAATATAAAAAGCAGTTAAAAATTATTACAATGTCAACTCACAGAGACATAAAACTAAAAATAGTAATGAATAGAGACTGTCACGGATAAGTCCTGTATAAATACATATTGTCGTCGTATTAAATCGTCCATCCAATTTGACGATCGCATAAAAACTCATTGTGACACACCTGTATCAAAAATAACTTAATTAAATTAAATTATATCGATTCGATATGTAATAAATTAACAAGGTTTTCAATATGCGCGACAAATTCCCTTAGTCAAGATAACTTGTTCCAACCCCTTGTTCTGGCACATAGCATTCCGGTATGTGTCACTCAGACACATATCTACCTTATATCAGGCTCTAAAATACGTAGGTGAGGAGACTGAAACCATACTAATAGCTTTACAAAGCCTATTTAGGGATGACTCAGAATATCTCGGAGTTATCAGCGATAAATATGCATATATTCGCGTTCTGAAGGATTTTCACGAAATATATAAAGATAAAATCTTAGTAATCATGGAATCATAGATTATGAGGGTAAATACGATATCAATTACAAACACGAAATACATTACTGACACGCTACCGGTGTTAGACAGCAGCCATAAGCCGTTTGTCCACCACCGCAGTCACCGGGACGTCACCGAGAACGAGATTATTTCGGGCCGAGTTTAAAATGACGTGACGGCGATCGTGTGTCCTCTGCGCCGATATATCATTGGCTTAGTTCTAGAGCTTTATCTTGTTTTTAATCGCCAAGCTTTTGTTTTACACAACGTTTGTAAGGAGCTGCAACCATTACACCATGTTCCACATGACATCTTAAGTAATAAATAAATTAATTAAAAACAAAGATCTTTCCTCTATCAGCCGGAGGCATGGTGAGATAGAAGCACTTATATTTTCGTGGGAACAACACACAAACAAGTGTGAATAACACGTTTGGACAAGAACAAACGTGTTTTGTATAGCCGGCACATCGGCCCGTCTTATGGTAGGTTCACACGCGCGCGTTCAACTCTACATTCAACGTGCACATTCACATTCACGAGCGTGTAAACGGTACGCCCGAGCCCGTGAACGCGCCTGTGAACGTGAATCGGGCAAGTGTCGGTTTTTTGGCAAAGTTCAAAGGGCGCCCGGTGACTGTTTAAACGCGCGCAGGCAGTCAGTCTCTCCCGCGCTTTCGCGACGAGTGGATCTTCATTCAACGTTGCTAAGAAAGTCGCTACGATCGGAGATTACAACATTAATTTTGTTTCTTTTTCCAATAAAAATAAGTTAAGCCCGCCGGGCTGCACGGCGCGCGTGTGACCGTAGCAATAGACCGGGCCGAGTTCTAGCGGTCACGCCGAACTACTCGAAATATGGGCGGCCGGCATGACGGCGCTCGGGTGACGGGGCGTGCACGTGGGTGGACACATGGCCATATTAAATGTATGTATCGCTAAATCGGCGCCGTCATCTCGTTCTCGGTGACGTCCCGGTGACGGCGGCGGTGGACAAACGGCCATAGACGCAAATAGAACTAAAACTGTTCGACTAATCTCGACGATAATGAACATTTTGTCATGAAGTAATCGAACACAATATTAAAGTTACCGTATTAAAACACGGTTAATTATCTCTTTTATAATCATGATCATAAGTTGAAACCGCTCAAATTGTCAGCATATTTTGGATCTAAAATTGTGATATTTCACGAGTTTTTTTCATATAAAGTGTTCTTCACAAACCAAAGACAATTTACTTTAGTTTTTAGTGTAACGCAAATTAAAGAGGAGGGTAAAGAGGCTGACTTTTTTGTTGTTTTTAAAGCTTAGATCTGAAATAGAATATGATTTATGTGTCTATCTCATACCTATTTATAATATTTTATATCAAACACCTTATTAACTAAGTATTTATTATAATTATCAATATTATCTATGTAATTGAGACTTGATAGAAACTTTGTAATATCATTTACATTCATTTCAACATATGAAATAAAATATTTCTAAACTTTATTAGATTCTATATATACTTTTGAGTAAATTTACAACTTTCAACAAAACAACAAAGAAATATATTATTATCTATGATCTAATACATTTCCTTATTATTTTTGGGTGGTTAATGTTTTGAAAAGATATACACATATATAACATTAGTCGTTATGAAGTAGGGTATTAGATTCGTAATCAATGTATATTCATAATATTCTAAATCTTACTCTGCTATATATTCTTATTGGTATGATAAAGTCTTATTTATAAAAACTAAATCGGGCTAATTTCACCTATTAATAAATATTTTATCACTTTCCATCAAATTCTCTTTATGCTGTGATAGAATGTGACAGATCAGTTCTAGAAATATGCCAGTAAAATCTTTAAGAATGTGCTTTCTCCAACCACATCTGTTGTTATGAATATTTGTTTTCATGTGTGTTTGGCTACATATTCATAACTCAACAAGACAAAAGTACTTTGCAACGAGCGCCTTTTTTTTATTGTTTGACGTCAGTTCGGATTAATACCTGTGGCTGAGTTTCATCATCGGAGGTCGAGGCAGAATACGAAATTCCACCCGTATCCCCTCGACGTCCTTCGTTCCACATATGAGCGTTATTTAAGGCAGTTTTTGCCACGCCCCACGTGGAACCATGTGAAACCAGCTATCCACTGAAGTATTTTCGAAACGATTCGAGTTAGGGTACTTCAAGGAAAGAGCGTACCGATCTTAAAAGGCCGGCAAGGCACTTGCGAGCGCTCTGGCTTTGAAAGTGTCTAAATGGGCGGTGGTGTCACTTAACATCAGGTGAGCCTCCTGCCCGTTTGCTCTTTTATGAAAAACCTCTGAGGCGTTAGCAGCTATTTGAGATTGCGTCATTCCGATAGGCTACAATATGAAGGTGAGAGTGTAAAGAAGAACTCATGCGTTTTTTGTGATTGGACAAACGGATGTAGGTAACATCATGACGTATGTCGTTTCAACATTTGGCCTAGAGATGTTGTTGACAATCGAACGGAACGGGCTGTCGTTTCGTCTTTTGTTTTGTATTTTATCTGGTCTCCGCAAAATACTTTTGTCGCTACGTAAAATACATTATAATTATATCTTGGTAGGGTTTGGTTATAAAAAGTGTCACGTATCTAGGTATGGTTTATATATTCCGCTTAATACCGTTTCAATTACTAGATGTACCTTATAGTTTTACATATTTAAGATAATATAAATTTTTAGTACATCTGGTAAAATTTTGTTATATTTTTAACCCACCTTTTGCGTGTGTTAAAAATAATTAACCCTATTATCAAGTAGATATATATTATATTAATAAATAATAAAACCTTAATATTTATATGTTTTCTGATGATATATAAAAAATTCATTGACTCTGTAGCTGCTGCAGCTCATATAAAAAATGTATCTTTTGATATTTCCATTGTACTGTAATTCATATTAATATTTCGAATTTTGAAAATGTCTTATATAATCAAGTTAGGTGTTAAGAATTATGTAAGACCAAAACTACTATTGGCTTTTTGATGTTGTTATAACTAGGTATATTTATGTGTAAATGGATTTACATATGATGATAAGATTAACTGGGGGCCTACTACGATGTTTCAATGATGGTAAACTTTTCCAGTGTTCCGTTTATTTATTTAAGATACTAAGCCTACTTTCAGGCCAATATTACAATTAGCAAAGCCTTGTTCTGTGTGTTTCTAAAATTAAACGGTTAAAAATATTTATTTCAAAACGATAATATCGAATGACGTAATGTGCGTAAGCCAAATTGTGGTCAGCGAAAAAAAAAACAATTTAGGGGTACTAAAAGTATTTTGCGCACTTCCCCCAACAACGCACATTTAACTATAGCACAGCCGGAGTTTCAACTAAATGTAAACCTACATGATTCTAATTAAAATTAAAACTATTTTAAAAAATATAAACGCGAAAGTATAACATTATTGGTCGCGAATCACGATTGCTGTAAAACACTCGAGTTATGCACAAAAGTAAAATTTTATTCAAATTTTGTACTCACGTAGTCCAAATACAATATCATTCTTTTATTTTGAGGTGACCTGCACAGAACTTGGCATTTAAAACGTTCCTGGTAGGCCGCCATTGCTATTAACCGATGACTCTGTCCTTATACTACATTTATACAAGATTTTACATTATATTAAGATCAATTTCAAACATATACAAGCTACTGTCGTGAATTCGTTATCTTGAAACATAATTTTTATTGGCATTCAGATATGTCTTTTTGTAAGGAAAGCTTAAAGCTTATTAGGAACTACTCCGAAGCTCGAATATACATCATGGAAAGTTATGTTTAGGCTGCCAAAATCTATAATTGTCGTATACGAATACTGGGAATCTTAAGTTCGTGGTTAGGCCTCAAATTACGCTGCTTGTTTGCATTTTACTAACATCTTATTAATTTATTTCAACAATTCGTAAGAGTTTTGTATGTAGACCCGTAGCCCAAATAGGACAAGAGTCAATAATTTCAGATGCTTTTTTATTGGCAAGGTGATAGGTATTATGTCCTTAACAAAGAGTTTTTTTAAGATCATGCCGGTTTCACAAGTATTAATTGCGCAAAAGGCCCTGATAGGTGGGGATTATCCCAAAGGCCGTAGAGCTATAGGATCGCATTTTTAACCACTTAACTCTCTGACTGTTGGATTGGTAATTTTATGTGGGACCAGTTTGTTGAGTAAGAGTAGCAACATCATAGGTTTGTAAGGAGCTCAATACATAATTTTTAACAGGATATTTTATAATTTGTCTTTATAAACAAAGCTTACAATTTGTGTTAATGATTATATTAGCAATATTTAAACCTAAATGCTGATCAGCTGATCTGTAGATTTCCTTACTTATAAACGACAATTTAATTTAGATCCTTTCTAAGAATGACTAATCTTTAGTAGAGTAAAAGTATTTACATTTTCCTGTCTCAAAGATGGCTTTTTATAAGTAAGAGAGTTAGTAATATTTATTACTTCATATCTCTCTATTTAGATAATTTTTAAATGTCTATTAAGCTTAGGTAAGCCTATTTAAAATAATAATCGTGTACGTGTAGAGTTACACATTATAATCTTGAATGTAAAACTCGTATTTAGAGCTACTAGAATTTCATTAATGTTGTTGCGATAAGCGTTTCCAAACTACTGTAAAACAAATTCAAGGTCTATGTTTGACGTCAAAGGTATATGAATAATAAAATAACCCAGATTTTCTCAACTTTTATAAGCACACATTTGTAATGGTTATGCCTATTTAAAAGTCCTGAATAATAAATAACCCACATGCATTGTTAACGTCATGAACATAAATTCAACTATGAATGTCTATGATTTAGTTTTTAATTGAAACCTCCGACGTATTTTTTTGGGAAAACTTGATACTGGAATTATTCTTCGGTCTTAAATGTCTTATAAACGATTTACAATTATAATGGATCTCAAATATAATATGATATACTCGTAGTTATCTGTATCGCATGTTTTAATCATAATATAATTCAATAAAACCACACGATGCGTAGTTTCATTTAAGCTATTTATCCCCGGAGTAACGATATACATGCTCATTTCTTTATTTTCTCATAACCCCCCGATTGGGCATAGGTTTTTTCAAGACAATTCACACCAATTGACCTAGTCCCATGCTAAGCTGGTGAAGCTTGTGTTATGGGTACTAGGCAACGGATATACATACATATTATAGATATAAATATATATTTAAACACCCAAGACCTAAGCACAACACCAAATGCTCATCACATCGATGTTCGTCTCAGCCGGGGACGAACCCGGGCCCCATAGATTCGCAGTCAGGGGCACTAACCACTAGACCAATGAGTCGTCAAACAGGTATAACATTTATGTCCATTTAAGGCCAATAGGTTCGAGTGGTCTGTGATCTGTCACCGAGATCGGCCGTTACCTGCGCGCGCTGCTGAATTATTTTTCCACGAGTGCATTTCCTACCCTCACTCTGTAAAGTGACTAATTATGGAATCGTTTTTTGTGTGTTTTCTATAAGTGACAACTTCGCTACTTTCCAATTGTTATCCTAGTTATGCTACTGTCACTCAAAATACCATGTTCCCTAAAAAGGATCAAGCAATTGTCATCGATGCTTTAGACAACGTACAAATCAAAGATTATGCCCAAGCTTAAGGAAGAATCATAGACCCATCCCAAATTCGATTTTTATCAAGAATATCAAACAACAGAATTTGTATTTACGTTTCTTCAAAGGTAATCGCTGAAGAGATTGACAATAAAAAATATGTTACAATCCAAAACCAAAAACTACCCATCCGACCGCTGATCAGCAGAAACAGACGTATCATCATATCCAACGTGTGTCCCATTGTAACGCACATCGATATTGAAAAGAAACTGCTAGAAATGAATATCACACCGAAGTCTCCCATCTCTTTCTTGCGTGCTGGTTTCAATGAAACGGGCTACAATAACATGCTAAGCTTCCAAAGACAAGTTTACGTAACTCCCGAGGATTTCCCCGACTTCCAGAAAAAATATCGATTGATTTTGAAGAAACAAATTTCTGGATTTATTTCTTATCAGATACAATGACTTGTTTCATATGCCTCAGACGGTCATGTAGCCTCTAAATGCCCGAATAATAGCAACGACTCGAATATTGTTAACGAAAAAACACTACGGGGTACTAGACACCAATTTTCAAGCGTCCACATCCACTGAATATTCGACTCCAACAGCTGATTTCATGGAGTCCGAAACAGCAAGAGAAAAAAACCTAACTAGCAACGAAAATAGTGATGAGGACTTTGATGATAAGTCTTCCCAGTCCAGCTCAGACGAAGTATACATACTTATAGACTGGGATTAAAGAGTATCTCACTCACACATATGGAATTAAGGACATATCGGAAATCACTCACTTACACACACAGTTACACTCACATATAGAAAAAATTAGTGCCTTAATTGAAATGTTTACTGACTTGATACCGATCATCTCATATCGTAGTTAAGAACAGACTTTCACGTATTAAGCTCATCTCTTAAGAAAAATCCAAGTTTAAATAAGTTAGTTACTTTTAGGTCACTTACGCTGGCCATAGACGGACCGCATTTTGCAGTCGACACCGACTGCTCTAAGCGGTCGCCGCACGGCGAACTGCAGTTTCCATACTAAATTCATATCCGCCATACACGGACCGCACGACCAGTTTCTGAGCGGTCGGAGCAGTCGCTCTGCGGTCGAGTTTCGCCGTGCGTCGACTGCTTAGAGCTGCCGGACCCACCATAAACGGACCGCTACAAGCGGTTGCTGCCGACCGCGCGCGTCTCCCTCAAATAAAATAAAATACTAACTAATTCATCAAATGAAACCACGGACATTCTAAAGTAGTTGAAAAACATTTTAGTGTCTTCTCTCAGCTGGGGATACAAAGTATGAAATATTCCATGTTGTTCTCTTGATTGTAGTATTGGACGCACCCACATACTAGGGTGTCTTCTACGCCTACGCTTGCGTAGTAGTACAAGAAGCAGTGTTTCTTCATCGAATTCCATCTTGTAAATAAACTCGCATCAGTACTATTTTGCGGTCGAATACAACTGCTCCAAGCAGTCGTAGCCGACTGCATTATGCGGTCGTGTTGCAGTCGTGTACGACTTCAACGCGACCGCTCTAGAGCAGTCGGTCTCAACTGCAACATGCGGTCCGTGTATGGCCAGCGTTACACAGTTATTTTGTGATTTGATGGTCTCGACTATTCAATGGAACTATCAAAGTCAAATACCAAAATTAAATAAATTGGATTCATATCAACAATATCAAAAGGTACATATATTCTTTCTGAAACTTGACTGCAATGCGATCACCAAATTAATTTAACAGGTTACTCTGTCTTTAGAAAAGATCGAGTAGATGGATATGCAGGCTTAGCTATCCTGGTCCACACATCTATAAACTGTAGTCTCAAGATGGTAGACCGCCGCGTGCGGCGACCGCTTAGAGCAGTCGGTATCGGCTGCAATATGCGGTCCGTCTATGGCCCGCTTTAGACCTTATCATGGAAACCCATTCCCTCTGACGTTATAGGACCATTAATGTTTAAAGAACCATCAATATAAAAAGTGTTGGTATGTTCTACGATATTTAAGTGTTTACTTGTCCTTTTTCAGAATCATATTCTAGGCTAATATACCACGGAATCGATGTAAATAAAAAAATATAGCTCGGCATATCGATCGTTAATGTTTTCTAAAAATAACATACCTGAAACAATACAAGGTAGACTTGGTAGAAAATAAATAAACGTTAAGTAATATATTTTACTTAATCTCTTAAAAGACTTCAAAATTACTTTAATAGACAACAATAAGAATGTATTATTTGGTAATTTCAAATACTGTAAGACTTCAGGAAGTCAGCAACGGCGGCGCCTTCGCCGACACCGGCTGCGACGACGGCGGCAGCAACGGCGACGGCGACGTGGACACCCACACTTTCGTCTTCGTCGTCTTCGACAACAACGTGCGCCTCGGGCTAAACATGTAATAAAATGAGAACCTTTTCTTTCCAGAAAGCCTAAAGCTGCCCCGTTATCAAGAACTAATTGAACTGATCTCTTCAGATCTTCGGTAGACTCTTCACCATGCTCGTCCTGGAGGTGTTGCACTACATCTGTTAATGTTACACCTTCCACATTCTCTTGCAAGTACTGTGTAATAAGCCTTCCGAAGGGATGGATTTTTTCATTTGTATCCATTTTGAATTTGTAACAGGGATATAAATAATTCTTCAGAACGGCATCAGAACAAATAATTATAAATTTCAACCTAATACATTTTTAGGTATCGCTAAGATACAAAAAATTTTACCAACACTAACTCCAGAAGTGATTTGATTAATGTGTTTTGTCATGTTTCCTTCTATTTTCGAATAACTTCTATTAAAAATACTTTCCAAAGAGTCTAAATATTTTATTGAAACCATAAATTAAAAAAAAAACTGAAAATTTAATTGAAATTGTCAGTTTAGACATTAAAAGTATTTGAATGTTTAAATTGAGATTTATAAATTACTATGACAAACTGTATTACATCCATGGCTACATAAATATCTTCTTAAATGAAATACAATTAAGATTCCAAAAGCATGTAAATTTTGTAAAACAACCAAACATCAAATTCACAATGAAGGGGACGGGAAAAGACCAAGATGAGAACATGGCAAAAATGGTAATAACTGCATTTCGCCGTCTGGACGACAAGACCGGCGTGTCTGCCATTGATATCACGAAGTATTTGCAGGACAAATTTGGCAATGTTTGGAGCACTTATAACTTAACTAGGCGGGCAGAGGAGACATTAAAGTGGAGTGCGGCTTTAGGGTTTCTTAATAAACGCGGTAACCGGTATTTGGAAAACTTTGCCCATGAAATGTGTCGCTGTCGTAAAAGTTGCCTACGTAGACGCCCTAGGAAACGATGCTGTGGACGCAGGCGACGCTGATGTTGTTAGCAAATATGTTGTGGTCAATAACTGTTACAGTGCTTTTTATAATAAAATGATTAATTTGGTCACGATTCATTCATTTCAAATCAATCTACTTATAGCCGTTTGAGCTAATTATTAAGAGCACTTTCTCTTTTTATTATATCGTAAAGAAATTTTTAAAGTCTAACCATTGACTAGCCTAAAGGCCCCAGTCCAACTTGCGAAGTTGCATATACCCCTAGGTATTGGAATAACTTTGTTAGCGTGGTTTTGGGAAATAAACATCACAGTTTTTGTAGGTTGTCGGTTTTGCTACAGGGTCTTTTACTAAATCTTCAGTATTTAATTCTGAATGAATCGAGTTACACATTTTTACCCAATATGTATACAATTATTAATTAATATTTTATACATAGTATATAAAAAGCAGTTTATAGCGTGGTGGAAACATAACGTTTATCATAAAACATATACAATGTACATACATAGGTTTTTCTATTTACCATAGAATATTTGCTCACAATGGGACGAAATAGTATATGTATTAAGACATTAAAAACTTCTAGGTAGCCTGTTCTAACGGGGTTAATTTACATATTTTTTTTATTAAAACAATAAATTAAGAAAAATATTTATTTTAATTCTATTGAGAATTTAGCTACACTGTTAACAATAACAATAGATCTACAGTAGGGATAATATGTTATTTTATATCAAGTTTTCTCTTTATCGGGGTTAGGCTTTTCGCCGGCAGCTGAAAATCGTACATACAAGATTAGCGATGAATTAATTTTTTGTGTATTACAAAACTCACTATCTATTCTATCAATACATACGTAACATCGTGCCATTTGACCAAAAGAAGCACTTAATATAAGATGCGTCACGTTTTGATGCTTCATCTCGCAAATTAGATTTTAGCGATTTGCGCAGTGTTTTTGCAGCTATGTTAGAATAGTTTACGTAACTGAAACAACCAATGATGTTTTAGAATTTAAGTTGGAAAATATGTCGGATGCTGAATTACCATGAGCCCAATGAGGTAGTCTCTTGTGACTTACTTTAATCCTGCCATACGCCACGTACTCATTGTTTACTGTAAGTGTAAATACTTGTGCTTAGTATAATTTCCTAATTTACCATCGCATGCTCTCGTCAAACTTTTAAAATCCAAATTATTGCATACAAATATTCAACTCAATTTTATCCAATTCAGATTGTCAATTTTGACTGACAATTAATTTGAATGACAATAAATAATATATAATAAGTTACATATATCTGGGGTAGTTGAAGTGCCAGCGGAGCTTTGGAAGTACAGTGAAGCGACTGTAGGATTAAAACTTTACGAATTGATCTGCAATATCTGGAAAGCGAAACATGGATGTTTTATGTCCGATACACAAAAAAGGCTGTACGAAGAGACGTGAAAACTACAAAGATATTACTTGATTGCTCTCTACGGCCTACAAAATTATGTCATATGTACTCTTACGCAAGCTAGAACCATATGTGGAAAAAGCCCTCGGAGACTATCAGAGTGGATTTAGTAAAATCTCTCACAGTAAGAGCTCACACATGATTTCACAGTTATCTCTGGATCTAAACAAGGGGATTACGGTATTTTGATTGCACCGTAAAATATTTACTTCCTTATTTCCTATTTTTACAGTAACTTAATACTATGTAATTCAATATAAACCTTATTAATATAAAAATTAAACTAAAAACATAATATAAACAAAACAAGATGTCTGGTGAAAAGAAACGATAAGTAGATACAGAGGGGCGCCAGTTTCAAGAAATATGGACTGTAGTTTTTGTTTTATCTTGCACAATGGTAAACCTATTTATTTGCTGTGTAATGAATCCATTTCAGTAATGAAAGAATTCAATATAAAGAGGCATTACTTAACTAAGCATACTACGCTGCACTCCCTGACAGGACAATTAAGAACAGACAAAATATAGAAACTTACCGCAAATTTGGAAACACAGCCACAAATGTATCATAAACAAAGAATACAACTTTTTAATGTTGTGAAAGCTAGTTTAATAGTTAGCTCAAAATTGGCAAAGGCATTAAAACCATTTGCCCAAGGAGAATTTATCAAGGAGTGTATGTTAGAAGTTTGCGGTATTTTATGTCCTGAAAAGAAAAATTAGTTTTCTCTCTCGTATAATTAGTATCTCTTATAACCAATAGAAAAGTAGAAAATGGCGGATTGTTTACAAATTTCAATACATTGCACAAAACTTTTTTTTTTTAAATACTTAGACGCGTTTCCGGCAGCAAAAATCACTTGGAGGTGTTCCAATGAAGGTCCCCCGAGACTCCTGCATAATCAGTATCATCAAATTCGTCCGACGACATTTAAAACCCAACCCAGGTGCTACTGAGGAATTGCTTGCTTTACAGCAGCTCAAAGGAACCCCTACAGGAGAGGATATTTTTATTTTTGGCTTGCCATGGTCAAAATTAATTGGAGTAGGTAAGCACTGATGGTGCACATTCTAAGGTCGGCTTACGTAGAGGTTTCATCGGAATGTTTAATGAAAAAAACAACAGAATTAAATGTGCAAAAAGATGATTTGATAGTCCTCCATTGCATTATCCACCAACAGAACGTGTGTTCTAAGTCCATTCGACTCCAGAATGTTATGAATGTGGTAGTAAAACCATCAACTTTATTCGATCCCGAGGGCTTAACCATCGTCAGTTCAAGGCGTTTTTGGATGAAATATCAGCTGAATGTAATAACGTAACATATTATTGTGAAGTCCGATGACTGAGCAAAAAAATTTTTAAAACGGTTTTACGAGCTTAGAAATGAAATAGCAGACTTTATGAAAATAAAAGATAAACCACTATTTTAAATTTGAAACTTCAAAAACAAGGACAGTTAGTTTATGATTTGTACAGCCATTTGAAAGCGTTTCAGATCAAACTACGCTTGTGGGAGTCCCAGATGCCTAGTAACAGTTACCATTTCAAAACGCTCTCTACGTATCGATATGCTGAAGAATTCAAGTTACTGTCGGAACAATTTTTGAACAGATCAGTCGCTAAGACTTCAAAAACATGGAAGACTGATTTGTGCGTTTGGCAGTACTTATAAATGCGAACAGTTTCTTTCATTGATGAAAGTCAATAACTCAACATATCGTACAAGACTGACTGACGATAATTTGTATCTTTATATCAGTGGAATTAATCCAAATATCGATGTCCGATGGATTAGTTTCCCAAATTCAAGCTTGTGTGTTTCATATCGGTGTATTTAACTTTCGTAGTTTGTAACAATTGCAAATTTTAACGATTTTATTATAATGTACCATTTTTTTAAATTTAATTTTGTTATTTTATTAAAATGTGCTATAATAATTAATAACATTGTCGTATTATTTCAGATCTAATATCTATCGCAAAAAATATTATCACTAATTTAAAATGCACTAAGTACTTTTAAACGCAGCCTGCGAACGTTTTTGCGCGCTAAAGTTTGGCCCTCAACATGTGAAAGGTTGCCCATACCTGCTCTACATCTTTGTCTTCTGCTACTCTTGGAATTGGCTGTCCCTCTATGTAATAATTATAGAGAATATCTGTTTGTGCTCTGGAAAAATAAATAACAGCACATTTCGCAGAATTAAGCGGCAGTCGATTTTCCTGCATCTATTTACTACCCGATCAATATCCTGCTGTAATCGTAGATTATCTCCTGCACTATTAACCGGCACTGATAATTTAAGATCATCCGCGAATAGCAAACATTTTGCATCTTCTACTACTCCTGGTCATTTACTATTAACAACAATTCTAAAGGTCCTAAAGATGAGACGTTATGGAGAGTTAATCGAAGGGTTGCTAGCCCAGCCCAACATTATAGGCGAATACAAGAACCATCGACTATGTTGGGACTTGAGCACATAGGCCAAGATCGAGCGGTGAAGAAACTTGCTTCTGACCCAATGGTCGGCATAAGTATAGTCTGGATCGACAGAGTGCAGGACCTGCTGCAGCTGAAAGCCAGCAATTGGCAGGTGGCGGAGGAGGGAGTTCCTATTATCGGGGGCCGAGACACTTCTTGTCTCACAGATTAAATATGTATCTTTAGTGTCTTAAAATAGTAGGTACTTCAAAGAAGATTTATCGTAAATTAAAAACATACTTTTAGGGTTAACTAAAATATACCCCAGTCAACTTCGACAGAATAATATATGTCCGCCGTACAAAGTTACGTTATTAAATTTTAATGAGATGTATCTTAATAGTTTGACTTTACTACGTCAAAGGACAAAGAGGAAGGATAGATAAAGGGTTGTCGTAAAACTCAGCGAATAAATATTTATATTATCTCTTTATTTTTTATTATATTTACATTTAATATAGCAACAGAGAAGTTTAACATTCACAGAGTTACAACTTGTTCAAATACACTTATTGCATCGTTTGTTTACGAATCTGCAGGTGCCTAACAGTTAATGCCAACCAGGGCATCTGCAACCAACTGATTTATTATTGCATTATTACAGCTTAAGCACCCTTAAATCGCCTATTAAACACTTATATAGGCGCATCATTCGCACAAAACGGTACTCCGATGGCACTTTCATTACGCTGTAATCAAGCCATGGCATTAGAAACAAATGCTCTCATGGTTGGATTGTCTGTTCTAAAAGAGGATAGGTGCGGACCTTGCGCTTATTATATTAATCCTAGGTAAACAAATAAGCCTTCATGCCGCCATTTGATAAAATAGTAAAAAGTTATCAACGCGTAGAATAATTTAACAAACAATTGGTACGTGGTAAATGGATTACATTTAAGATTTAAAACTTCCGATTGAACTTAGATTTTATAACAATATTGACAAAAATTTATTGCAATTGTAACATTATACACCTTACTATAAACCTAAATTAGTTAAAGAATATTTGAACATGTGTGTGTCAATCAAGTGACTATATTGATATCGAAAAACGCTATTCAATAGCTATTTCAGGTTCATAGTGTGTTAATAAGGTCTTTTATTAATATTCTAAGATATAAAAATGCCATCGTAGAGTAGCCTAACAATAAAGATAACTAGATTTCAAACAATATTTAGGCCACGCCTTTAAACAATAATCAGAACAAGTTCATATCCATACATATAATCAAATAAAAACATATTAGATGCGGCAAACTTTACTATTTATATAAGGCCCATACAATATATCAAAATTATAATGATTATCTATTAAGCAGGTGTCCTAGAACAAAGTATATTTAAATAAGTATAACGATTTTAAAACAAATCATTTTATAAAATAAAAACACTTAAAATTATTTTATGACCATTAACAATACAATTTACAAAACTACAACTATGAGTCTTGCTATTAGGAAATAAACCACAAGGTAACCCACATCAATGGATGAAGATATTATTTTTTATTACATTGATATTGACTTTTGGAAATGGTGTAACATTAAATATTCTTTATTTTTAGGAACACATAGAATTATGCTACCAGGCAGATTAAAAAATATACTAATTTAAAATGGCCAATAAGGCACGTTTTTTTAAGGCTTTGAGCCGTGGGCTGATGTTTGGAAAATATAAAACATGCAATTAAAAAAATGTCGAAACCGAGAGGCTCAAAGAAAACTTTGTAAAATATGAATAAAATATTTACAGATTCACACAGAACTATAGAAATTTCATTGATATAGTTTTTCTAAAATTCATGAATATGTGAAATATATAGAAATCAATTCATTTACAGTATAAGAAAGAAAGTTCATGATAGCAGATACAAATGCAGTTTTAAAATTTTAAATAAGATAAAAGGACTAGGTGTATCACAATACGTAACTGTTTTTATTAAAACAAATATATACATTGCAATATAATAGAAAACAGGTAAATATTTGCAATTATAAAAACATCAGCTAAATTATGGCAGATTTGTTCTATTATATTATTTAAAATTGTTATAACGTCATTACATAGATAAAGATAAATTAATGAAGCCATTCGGTTTGGACAAAGAATGCAAGTATGGCGGGCGATGGATACCATAGCCCGTTCACACATCTCATTCTTAAGTTACTATCTAAAGTTCGCCTTGAGATTTATCACAGGGCGAGTTACTTAAGGCTCATGCAGTATCAATATCGCCTACATTTATGCGGTCCTCGGATGCCGTAACTGAGAAACCCAGTATGCGAGCGTCCACTTTCATCATTTTGTTCTTCTTTGTTTTCTTACCCTTACCCTACAAATATTTAAGAAAAGATTAGAAAAAAACCCAGTGACGCCAAATCCACTAAAACTTTTATATCTATTTTGTGATATTTCATTTTTAAAAAGCACATAGGTGATCTAATTGCCCGTTCTTCTCTTCCGTTCTACGCCCTTGATTTGAGAACTGGCAGTCAATGTAAAATTAGAAGCATTTAATGTATATTTCTTTTTTGACGTTCATAAGTGTACATTGTATTATCTATATGAATAAATGACTTGACTAATGATGATTTCCTTCACCGTAGGAGCTAGTGTGAAATTGGCGCACAGTGATTCAAACGAACGACTCAGGTTTGAGAAACGCACGCTCAAGCCACTGCGGCTAAATCCGATTGAAATAATTTACTTAATAATTTAGAGTTTAAATTGTACAAGGCAGTTGTTAAAGCCATATTTCTGCGTCTATTATAATACTCTGTGTATCAATTTTCGCCGGATATCAAATTCAGGACTTCCAGATTTGTACAGGTTTATTATATTACTTTAACTATTCTCAGTCTCGTTCGTGCTAAATGTACGTTTAGCTAAGACACGATCCGACTTACCATGCAGACGTAATATAAGTAGTACACATAACTTACTTTAACCTCTTGATAGTCGGAGATTGAATTATTGCGAGGATTGATGGCAAGCGCTGGCGAACAGAGATCGTCCGATGGCGTCACCATACCGACCCGCAGCAATTTCGACCTGAAAATACATTTTATCAAATTTAGTTCAATAATACTTGTGTAAAGAAAATGAAGGCGAAATTGTTTTTATTTTATTTTTTAATAAAACAGCGGGTAAAGGGACAGGAGGCTCATCTGATATTAAGTCATACCGTCAACGGACACTCACACTGCCAAATGGCTCGCATGTGCGTTGCCAGCCCTATTGGAAATACTTCACTCGGTAGCGGGTCCATATAGTGGTGGTGCGCGGCAAAAACTGCCTCTCGACGTATCGACTTATTTTACGTTTTGTAATATAAATAAAATATTTATCATTATATAGCTCTTTTCACCACTAGCGGTCACGCTGCCTATCAAGTTGAATTTGGTATGGTGTATAAGAGTAGTTTGATTTGTAGATATACCTGTGAAACTTAAAAATTTTCACAAAAATATTTTTTTGCAAAGGTTTAATTGTATTGTTTTCCATATATATGTTTGATATTTTACCTTCGTTCAAGGAATTGCCTAGAAAAGTCGATCGACTCTCTGGATTCGCCAAGATAGTATTTGACGTAATCCTTAACTTCGTAAGGCGACTCTATGTCTTTGAGGAAAACCATGAAAGTCGGCACTGAAACGATAAAAAACTTATGTTTTTATTATTATTAATAATGATTTATTTATTTCCAACCTTATGAAAAAAATATTAAAAAATATAAAACTCAAAAAAAAATGTATAAAATTTAATTTTCAATGTATTACATGTCATCATGGGTCTAAGTTGGATTTTTTGTGTAGGGTTAAAACTTCATCTTTGGTATAGGCCTCCTCCAGCTTATAGCCATTCATGTTGTTTTGTTTTTCGACACTTCCATATACTTGTTATGAATTTCAATTCAAGTGCGACGCGCTCCGAAAACGCTTTATACTCTATTATATTATTACTAGCTGACCCAGCAACCGTTGTTTTGCCATATGATTGTTTTATTTCTAGGAAATATTTTTTTGTTCAATAAAAATAACTATCTACTATAATAAAAAAATAGGAGTGATCGTAGAGGGGTAAAAATAAGGGGTTGTATGTATTTATGTATGTGTATCATAAAAAAAAAATCACTTAGGGGTTAAATTAAGAGTTAGATAGTAGCCGATTATCAGACTTACTGAATATATAAAAAATTTCATAAGAATCGGTCGAGCCCTTTCGGAGAAGTAAGGAAAAGAACATTGTGACACGAGAATTTTATATTAATTGATTAGATTAGATTAAATTAATTTGTAGATGTTTATAACGGCACCTGTTTCAACCTCACTTCCTTTCCTTGCTGACATCAATTTAATTAACTTCTGGTGTAATAAAATGTTGAACAATTTTATAGAGAAAAGATTCGCACTAATTACTTACACTTTGGATTTCCGTTTTTCGCACATAAACACTTCGTATTCTGTGTTATAAAAGTTTGTGAAAGCTATTCACGAGTAATAGTTTGTCTTTAGATACTTTTCGCCGTTCTTAGAGGATGCTTTTTAAATTGTAAATAACATTTATTAACAGAGTTGAACATGACGCGATGGCAACTAAATACTCTTCTTCTATATATTATTGTTAATAATTTGAGACGTCATAGATAAAATAAAACTGCGCCTCTAAAGGTAACAATTATATAAATATTTTAACAATATATTAAATAATGGTACTTTGGTAAAGTTTAAAGATATTTTAATGAATATTGGAGTAAATTATCACTATGTTTAAAATAAATACCATCAATGTTGGAACTCCATAAGCCTAAGGCCTGGGTACACCAAGCATCAAACTCCATAGCGGGCGTTTTCTTCTTTAAAGGCTCTGCCCGTACTGGTGATTTAGATTTAATTGTAGTCTCAACTGGTTTAGATTCACTTTTCTCTGGATCTGATTTAATTCGTTGACTTGGGGAATCCCAAAAACCACCTGTGATCAATTATTTCGTTTTTAACGGAAGAAAATTGTATGAAAAATAACTATCTAAAGAAAATATAATATTTTAGTGTTTAAAATTGGATATATCTCAACATAATTACCATTTGAGCCACTTCCCCAAGGCACATGGTTCGGCGCAACAGGGGATGATTGTGAGATCTCCTCTAAAACCTCCGATGTAGCCGTCGAAGATGCTGCCTGCCGCCTCGTTTTTGACTAGAAAATTTACCATTAAATTCATAGTTTATTTATTAATTGATTTAATGAACAACCCAAACAGATACAAAGGTTTTATTTAACACTGGTTACGAGTATATTATAAGAATTACCTGAATTTCAGCTAAGTTTGGTGAAGTAGCATTTGGATTTTTCTTTGTAGCCCAACCAAGACCGGCTTGCACTTCCTGAAATAAAATTAATTTAATTTAACTTAAGTACAGAACAGGCTTTGTTTAATAGTCATACATTTTTCAAACCACTATTAAATTCATAAGGAATAAGACAATTCTTTTGTCGCAATTTTAATATATTAATACAGCATATTAGAGTATTAATGCTTGACCATGGAGTCTCATTTGCCAATTAGCATTTTATGCCTGCAGTGAATTTGTTTTTCTATCCTTGTGAATTTTTTATTTTTGTTTAGCGATTTCTTCAAATTGTTGCTGGTCTAAATATAATTATCCGTGTGTTTACGAAGGTGACGTTATCAAAAGTATTTAAAATATTTAAAAATTCTATTTGTAGCGGGGTTCCTAAAAACGCATAAAGCGTTTGAAGTAATTGATAGGGATGACGGGCCTACCTGTTCTCTGGCCAATGTTGCGGCCTGCTGCTGAGCAATAATCTGCATCATCTGCTGTTGTTCCTTTATTTGTTCCAATTTTTTTTCCCGCTCGAGCCTTTGAATTACAGCTAACGTCAATCCACTTTTGCTTGTAGCAGCTGCTTGAGTGGCCACTGCTGACCAGGGAGCTTTCTTAGCGACAGAGTCTGCTACTTGCTTCTGCTGTTGCTGATCCTGTAATTTTATTAATAATCAATAATAACCCAACAAAACAGACATCCACATTGAATCAGTATAAAGTATATAAGATATACCTTCTATATTTTATGAACATATTCAGCTGAACTATGAAAAAATATCTTCAAAGATTTGATTATTTCATAAATGGTGCTTTTTTGGCATAACCAAATCAAAGGAAATTGGTTTTTTATTTCTATAAAATAATAAAAACTTTTCAAAGCTGTATAAATTTTTTGATTACGCTTTAATTGCAATATTTAGTAACATAATGAAGTAAAAATAGTTTCGTTATAAACACAAAACATTAACTGGCTTTAAAAGGCATATCAATAAATTGATAAGAAAGTGTTTTTATAAACGTTAAAGACTTACTACTTGCTTTTTGATGGCTGTCGCTAAAACAATCCTTCTGGTTTCGTCCGCTGCTACCACGGCTTCTTCTTCTTTTCTGTAAACAAACACTATGTTAATGGTAGTGTAAGAGGTCCGTCGCAGCGTAGTAAGAGAGATATGGAATAAAGTGCAAACACTTGTGTCCTCATGGGAGAGGCCTCAAGAATATTATTATATCAGTAAGTGCTGATGGTTGAATTAAAGCCTCAGAAATGAATTAATAAAACAGGTGCATTTTACTGTACCCTGTCCCATTGGTGGGCACTTCAAACACAATCGACTTGTAGGAATTACCCATAACATATTTACATTGCATGGAATAGTTCGACACCACCTTTTACGAAATTTTAATTTTTTTTCGGTCTGTCTATTATAGAAGGCTGTTAATAAGTAAACTAGCAGTCGCGCGGTGCGCTGGGCAGCACGCGTCTGCGTGGTGGTGGTGTAGGTGGTTAGAGGCCACATAACGTAATAATTAGGGGAAAGGGTCACATCCCCGTCGAATTTCGTAATTGGAATACCTAAGGTTAAAATCCTTTCAAATAATTGAGTATATATCGCGTGGTATGGAACCTTAGTTTGGCTGCACGCAGCCAGAGACATGAGAGGGGCTGGACACGGATTACGACAAAAATAACATATTTAACTTGAATTACAATATTTGCCCCTTAGAAAATGTATGAAGGATTTTCTCTTAATCTCTCCCGGATAAGCATCCTGGACAGATTTAGTCGCAAATGGAAGAAGAATCGATGAAAGAAGACTCGTTTCACATATCTTCTGTCGAATTTATACCACTCCGATCTATCATAGTGTTCATAAGTATACCTACAGGTATAAAATTTCCTTTGATTATGAGATGCAAGAAAATAGTATAGAAATTTAAAAATTTATAAAAAGCTTACTTTTTACGAGCAGCTTCTTCGACAGCTTTGGCCTCTTCCACCTTTTTTTTGATCTCCTTGTTATTATTTTTTTCAGCCCCTTTCACAATTGTAAAACCATCCTTCAATAATTCCTGTAGGAAGCGTTAATTTATTGTTACTTATAAACATTCATACTGTATAATGTAAGCAGAATTTATTCCGTTTAAAGATGTGATTTAAAAAATGTATAATAAAAAAGGGGTCGCGTTTCGCCGTGTATACCTTAGGGCTTAGACCTTACAAACGAAGCTGTTTTCTCGCTCGCTATGTAAATTTAATTTTATATTGTTTACAATAAAACATTATAACTTTTACCTTTTTTTCTTTTTCCAGCTCTTTCTTGTTAAGAACTTTTACATCCTTACTTGACTTCGAAGGTGATGACTCAACAGATCTTTTCTATAAAGTTAATGTTATATTAATAACAATAATTGATTATTAAATATTGTATCATGTTAGTAAAATTTCGTTTGATGTGAACCACGCAACAGATTAATATAGATGAAGTCATATCAAGCTTAAAACATATATAATTAAAGAAGAAACCATTGTAAGTTACCAGGCTTGCGAATTATCTACACTAATATTATAAAGAGGAAAACTTTGTTTGTTTGTTTGATTGTAATGAATAGGCTCATAAACTACTGGACCGAGGTGTAAAAAATCAACCAAAAAAGTTACTTATTTTGCGTACCCTGCCTAAACTATTAAAGATAGAACCATAAAATGTTCTAAGTAATTGTAGATCTTATAAATATCTACAAAAAAGTCCGCGACACACTATACCTATCTATGTCGAGTGAGGCACAATAACCATAAATGATATAATGACATGGAAAAACGGCGTTTGCCGGATCAGCTAGTTATATATATAATAATAATCTTTTCAGTCCTGTTCTTTTATGCTGAAGAAACACATTGTGAAAAAAACAGTACGGTTTTTGAAGTCGAAGTAATAGCCACCATTTATAAAAATAAATAATTAATTTTTGCGATTCCAAATATACATAAATTACAACTTTACGATAACAATTAAGAGTGTAGCATACGGGCATTTAATGTCACAGAGCGCACTGCCGCACGATCTACTTCTAAGATGCCTACGCGCACGCACACATTCTCAAAATAGAACGAAACCAGTTTTTGACAAATGGCGTGCAAATAAAATGAGGCTAAAACCAAAAGTTCTGCTACTATTTCTTTTATTAAAGTAATTATCGCATAGCTTTGCAAAATGAACTTACTCCCTGTGACTTCGATGCCACTTCATCAGTAGTAACTGTAGCATTTATCTCCTTGATTTCCTCTTTTGGTTTTTTAGCTTTCGTTTTTGTACTATAAGCGTCTTTGTTTTTACTCTTATCCGTTTCGTTTTTATTAGGCTTTAAAATCTTAACTTCTCCTTTCGAAGGAGGTACTTTAGCACTCTCGGCATCGGGTTCTACTGGTACTGGATTCACTGTAGGCTGCAATAACTGATATTTAAAAAAAACTACTTTTAAATCAGTATAACAATAATTAAATAATGGGTCAAGACCGCTTGAATTCTTAAATAATAAATGGGTTGCTGTACGTTATAAATTTTAGAATATTATAGTATACTATAATAAAATAAATGCGACATCGTTTTGTCCCCTGGGTCTTTAAACAATAAAATATACAACAATTTAATTGCATAACGATATAGGCAACGCCATCATATTTCGTCTTTATTTGTTGTCCTTTGTTTAAAGCTATTCAAAGTAATTTAAAAAATTCGAACATTATATACAGAAACATATAACCAAAATTTTTCAAGGCGTTTTAAAAATCGAAACATCAAATGGCACTGGTAACGTTTTCTAATTTACCTCTGATTCTTTTCTTTCTGGTTTTGACTCAACTGTAGTCGGCGAATATCGAGGAATCATTTCTGGTTGAATAGCTGGTAACTGTGAGAGATCAGGAACAACGGGTGGTTTAGGGAAACCGCCGTTGGCATTCATTGTATGTACATTGTTTAGAGGAGTCATATTTTCGGAGGCAGGTACCCCAGGTAATTGTATATTTTGAGAACTTAAAATTTGTGCTAAAATCTCATCTTCCGTTTTCATGTCCTTAGGCAGTATAATAGTTTTAGAAGGCATTGCAGGCGGCTAGAAGATAAATGTTTATCAATAAATATTTTATAGTCTCTACTTTTGCTTCCTTTGCTAACTACCTAATATTAAAACTGATACTGTTTTTTTAAACGTAACGAGGATTTAATACTAGAACCAATTTTAATGTGTGTGTAAAAGACGGCGTGACTTAGCACAAATCTGTAAAGTAAAAAAAAATAAACAATGAAACAGATAGAAATTCCTGAGGTCAAAATCAACAGTGTTGATAGCGGCAATTACCGTAATTAACTTTTCACAAAAGAAATCTTACAAGATAGGTAATAATTCTAAATTACCATACTTTATAAGCATTTGTTTTGCGAATATTAGTCTTTTAATTATGTTCATCAAGAAATTTCGGCAATGCCACTGTGATATATTGCGAAACAGCGGTGAAATGATAAATGAGAAATTTCTCAGAAGGATCTGAGGGTAAATGAAAAATGGAAAGATAATTAACTTGTTTAATAAAAGCAAAATAAGGCAAAAAAGGTGCTATACGCTTAAGCAGACCAACATTAGCCAGACAGGCAAGTAAGTGCAAGTGTAAGTAAACAAACTGGTAAACATTCCGATGTTAATATCTTATTCTTGTCATAATTTGACCGTGCTTGCATGTATAACACCTTTACCAAAACAAGGCATATAATTAAACCTAAATAGTACAGATCTTAAGCATATTTATCAAAAGTTTCACATTTTTATGTCATGCTTGAACCTATTATGGTAATTAGTAGTGTGTGAGTACTATTTAGTGGGTTTAAACATAACACGATCATAACAGTGTATAAAAATTTTCAAAGATATAAACAAAATTTACCCCTTAAAAGCAAAGCATTATAAGCAAATTTAGCCTAGGTTAAAACGCTGCCCAAATGTAGACAACAGCAAGCCACCAGTTTCCATTTCATTATTAATCAAGAAAAAGAGAATTCATTTCAACTTTGTTTTCGTGTGTGTACGAATGCGCAGCGCTTACTTATATTTTAGCGGAGGCCTACTAACACATTTGCACACGAGTGTATTTAATCAAGCCAACAGGCCAGGTGGCCTCATAGACACAAAAATAATATATACAAAAGTGTTTTACACCCTAGTTGTTTATATATCAAATCATAAACTCAGATTTAACCTAATAAATAGAACCTATCGCAGAATCTTAGTAGAACCTAAGACTTCTAGAGAAATTCCACGCCTCTTAGGAATTAACAACAATGTGCACTTCTTGGTTGTACTAACTGGGAATGATCTGTAACCGTTAATAAATATGTTGTAATGTTTAATTCATCTCGACATTCTGTGTGTGTGTATTCTTTTAGATATGCCAGAATCGTATTGACATTCAAATTAGTGAAACAACACAAAAGGCTTTTAATTTTTGTGGAATATGCTAATATTTACACGCGAAACAAATGTTCATTTCTGTATTTTAAATAAGCAATGACAATTCAAATCCCCTTGCTATAAATTATTGAACTAACGTAGCCGTAAAAGCGCCAAGTAATTACAATCGGTTAACACATTTGTATGTAGAAATAAACACTTATTTTATAAAGACTTACTACTTATAAACATACCTCGACGTCCCAGAAGTGCCTCGGAAGGTTATTGACATTTGATTCAGGATACAACATTGGTTCCGTCCAAATTGCATTTTGATTATGTGGAGCCGGGCTCCATACACGAGACGTCTCCTGAAATAGATTGAAATATATACAAATGTTATCTAACTTTAAAAATAGATATGACTCCTCCAATGGCAAAAAAAAGACTAGCACTGAAACCTACGCCTAATCCAAAACCGGCTTGTGGAATAATTCCGTCGGGCGCGCGTGGGCAATTAACATGTGAGTTCATTCCCTAAAACATAAATTATTTCATTGTGTAATGTAAATTTTATGAATGATTGATGATTCTTAAAAATCTGAAAGTAGAATTACCCCTTTGAAGAATGGCATCGGTCCATAATCAGCTAGAGGGCGCATCGTATTCTCAAAAGCTCTGCGTACAATCAGGGAAGGCTGGAAATATCCAGCTACGTACCAGTTCCACATTTCTTGAGATGTAAATGGTCCTTGTATTTTTTTCTGTAAGAGAAAAATACAGTATTCATGAAAAGTCTGTTAGTAATATTTTAGCGTAAAGGAACCTATCGCGATTTATTCTCTCTCACTGATCAGTTTCCTGAACTATGAAATAGGCCATTGAATTACTTTAATTTTTTTGCATACACATCCTGCTGACGGCATAGGATAACCCAGTACAAACATCAAAAATAAAAATTATATTATTATTATTCATTAACGCAAGCAAATAAAATAAACCTTTGCAAAAACGCTAAGCCGCAAACGCCTTCCAGTAAACATAATTGATTGCTATAAGTCCTCAATATATGCCAATGTTGGTTTTCATTTACGGAACTGATTCTGATGACTTTTGTATTTAAAAAAACACAACTCCAATACTATAACTTCTTAATTAATTGGTAATTTTATATTTTCAACACACTCAAGTCTAAACCAAAGCACGCCTAAGCCAGGGATTACCCATTGTAAGTATTGAAAAATATGTGCGTTTTATGCAATATTGTACATAGTCAATTAATTAAACTTTTTAAAATTTGCATCACTTATAGCATAACATCAAATAGCAATTATCTCTATACTAGGAAATAAACGCGTAGCTTTGAGAATATTATGTATATTCACCTCTGGGTCCTCGTAATACCACAAATCGGCTAAAAAGTTTTGAGCATTACTTATAACTGACGGTCCAACGTAAACTGAATTTAGTGGAGGTGGTTGGGCAGCATGCCTTGGAATTCCTTGAGGCGGGAACATGCAGATTCCCAGTGCAGGATTTGGTGGAAGATTGTTACCCATTGCCTGAAAATATGTAACATAAAATTAGTTCATGTTGGCTACAACAATCATTTTGATAGGCATAAACATAACTGTAGAGCGAGATTACATTAATTATATAAACATGTATTTCTAGCCTAAAATAAGTCAGATTTAATTTTATGATGTTGTTGAACATTAATAAATGGAAAATTTAATATTAATTTTTTCATTACTAGCTTCAGTACAGCATAGATATATCACACAAAAAGGTACATTACCACATTATTATTCTGTCCTATATACGGCACAGAAGCATTGGATTGTGTCATATCATGTGGACGAACACTTTGTTGAAATGCATCCATCATATTTGAATGGTGTTGCATAGTAGGCATAGGCATAGGCATAGCCATATTCATTCCTGGGTTAAATGCAGTGTTTGACATCATTTGTGGTAATCCATGGAGGGGCGGCATCATCATTTCATTTTTCTGTATATTTAAAGTAGTCCCTGATGCTGAATTTTGTAATCCTAGGGATGCAATACTATTTTGCCCTGTGCTTGGTATATGTGTAGTGCTTGGCGCATTGTGGACTTCTAGACCAGTTGTGGAAGGTCCTATTTGCATTAGCGTATTAACTAGGCCTCCATGCTGTCCTGGTTGCCCCGGTGGTAATACAGACATGTCAACAGGAGGCCCACAAGGCTTGTTTGGTATTGCATTATTTCTAACAGGCATATTGTTATCATCTGAGAGCTCCTCAAATAATTTTTCTTGTTGCACATTATTTGGCTGCCTGAAACAAAATATTATCATTTAAAACTTTTGATTTAAATGATGTATAGTATATAAATATAGTAACTATGAAAGAAAACTTACTCAGCTTCTCGAACGCTATTTTCGGTAAAAATAGCATATGAGCTGCACAGTGGAGTTGTAGAAGAAGAACAAGTTGAGGTCACAATATTCTGGTGCTTTTGACGCAGAGTGTTGTTTTGAGAAATCATGACGGATTGGAAATTACTAAGATTGTTACTTTCGTTGCCGCCATCGATATCTGGACGCATTGTAGCATCATAATTTTTAGTTTTGACATCATTGTCAGGTACACCCTCGGTCATTGTAACTTCCGACTCATTTTCATTGGTTGGAGCAGTTTCAGTGCTTGCGTCGTCAGATGTAGAGGCTTGTCCCTGTAAGAAGCATTGGTTAATTTAATTACCCATTTCAATACAATTTTAAAAGTATATTAATAAAAAATTACCTGTGTCCTCTCTGAGGTTAATCGTTTAGGAGAGAGCTTTTTAGCTTTTTCTGATGACCACCACTGTTCAGCCGCCTCTTCTTGGTTTCGCGTTACAGCTGAGAAAGAAAATTTTATGAATTATAATTTATTTATGAGTGAATGAGAATTCAGAAAACAGTAAAAATTGTTTTTATATACTATTACTTTTATTATAAACATCACATTTATTTACTATCAAAACAATACAACATAGTATGGCCAAGACATTGAATAGCTATAATAAATATGAACTTGTAGACATATATTTAAAAAGTGTCATTGCAATATACATAGGAGATTTTAAAAAATTTACATGGGTGGAAAATACATCTTAATATAAGATTATAAAATATGTTAAATTTACAGAAAGTCTGTTCTGGTGGCCGAGGTTCATCACTGCATCCATGAAATGCTCCGGACGAATCGAAAGTGCCCGCACCCGCGTCTGCATTATCATTGGCCCTAATATGAACACAAAATTTTAATGACTATAATAATAATCTAAGTTATAAGGTTAGTGTTTGTAAATTGTAGTTTATTCAATAGATATGTCGCAGCTAAAATAATTGGACTCAATTAGCAAAAACCCAAGTAAATTATGGAATTTCTATATATCAATAGTATATGGTAGAATATATTATTTTTCTCATTTTATACATGCAGTTTCATTACGTAATGAAACTTGCTCTACTACAAAAAAGGAATTATAAATAACTAAGTCTCTTGCATTTGTATTTTAAAAACACTCACAATTTCACAAATTTAACTATGTAATTATTCCATAATGTTTTTATTGGATTGATTTTTTTAATAATAGTGACAAAACTTCTAGACTGTTTAAAAACTGTATGGTATGATTTGAATTGATTCTCAAATATCAGTACATAGTATATATGATATATATGAAAATAACAGTACAATAAAAACCATATGTAGATTTATTCACCTAATAAAAATGTATTTATATTGCAGAAACAATATAATTTTGAGAATCAACAGAAAATCTGCAGGTGTGATCACAAAACTAAATATATATAGCCCTGAGGGATCCTAGTGTTTACCTTCTGTTTTGGAATAGACAATAGTTACCAAACCTAGCTTAAAGAATTACTTTCATACATATGTTATACATAACATAAAGCATAGCAGATGAAATTACTAATAGTATACACATAAATTGGAAAGCGGTAACAAAGGCAGGGTTTGTTGAAATTGGAGTGAGCTTAATTTAATGACAAAGCTTATATAAAGATCTACTAACCACTCTGGTATTTCGTCATTTGGAGCTGCGTTCCAGGGACGACGATTAGAATTCCAAGACTGACGTGTTTCCTGTGACGGCCTTTCCGGCCATTCCCGCTCTGTAAAAACATAATAATGCTATTATAAACTGTTCTTTTTTGGCAGGTACCAAACAATAGATAACTTAAAAATATAAATTTGTGATATACGAAAAGTGTGCTGTATAAAATGGTATTTAAAAAAAATACTTTAAACTGTACTATATTTCTGTAAAAGAATATATTTAATTGTTACTTTTGCCAAGTTCAAATTAATAATTTTCATTAGCCACTATGTTGTGGGTATCTAAATTTATTTCCACAAACGGACAAGGCAATTGGTCTTTAGTACTTTGTCTATTAATAAACTGATATTATTTTCTTATTTACCAGGATTGGGAAATCTAGAGGTCTGCTCTTGGGACCGCCATTCATCCCCTTCCTCCCTGCCTGATTGTCTCCAATTAGTACTTCGTATTGGTCGCCTTAAACAAAATAAATCAGTGAATACCATAAGCATACTGTTTATGAACATTAGATAGAAATTTCTTTGTCTATAAACTATTATTTATTCAAGTTAAAGCAAAGTAGATACCTGTTTCTGAACAATTTGGTTGATGCCCAACCAGATTGTTCTGTTGTTGCTTGTCTAGTTGCTCTAGGTGCACTACTTGTATTCCAAGACCTCCTGACCTCTTCGTTTGGAGGCACAGAGGCACCCTGTGCAGGATCTGTTCTTACCTTATTCCAATCCCTAAGTAACATACATTTTTACAATATTTCTACTACTAAAAACGCAAATGTGAGAGAATGGGGCCATATTTGCTTCTCTCACATGCAAGCAATGTATCTGTGAATTTTCAGATATGTCTAAACTCTGAAATTAACAAAGAGGTGTATGACCTAAATATCCTGCAATAAATAGTTGTTTCTCAACTAAGGCAAGATTGCATGTAATTAAAAACTGCAGAACGTAATTAGATGATTCTAAATATAGACAGTCGCAATTATTACCTTGAAACCTATATATATAATATCATACCAATACACAAATAGCAAAATGTAAAATGAAACATGTTTGTGTTCTTTTCAATATGATTAAGTCAACTTTTATGCATCTGTGTCTGCAAGAAGTTTGGATAAATTTCAAGTTTCAATCAAATGAAATACATTGAGTCACAGCTTTAATAGTTTATCATGTATTTATGTATGTTTATAGTGATGACTAAAAACTACTTTTCAATGTAGATAACATTTTAGAACAACATAGAGCTCACCTTCCTTGATTAGTGGCATTTGGTCTCACTGTTGTTGGTTTCTTAGGATATACCGTCCCTACCCCATTCCCACGACCACGTCCAGTGTAACTTGTTGGGCCAGTCCCACCAATTTGACCACCAGTAGCGCCTTCAACAGGCTAAAGGGTAATAAAAAAGGTTTAAATGCCTATTAGAGATTATTGTAACTTATATGGTTAAGTAACTTACAACATTTTGACCATCTTTAAAAATGTTTAAAGCGCATGGTGGATTTCCCCTTGATTTATACAATAATTCAAATTGCTTTAATTGTTCTGGTGCCGCAACCATTCTATCATAAAGTGCTAACATTTCCTCTCTTCCATATCTGTAAAGAAAACATGTAAATAATTTACAAGTTAAAAGTATCAATAAATCTAGTCTGTGTAGGATATTACATCTGACTACTTTAAGAAGTTTAATAAGGTTCCACAAAACTACAGCAGATCATTGAAATCACTTCATTGTACCCAGTTTCAAACAATACATGTTAAGAAAGTTTAAAGTATAACAGATATAATACACTTACCTGAGATTAGCTAGGTGAATTCTAGACACATTATTCTGCCGATAATTTTGTGAGCCTGTTGACAATTGTGTTGTGGAACCTGGTGACGTACCAACAATAGTATCTCGGCTAGGTGTTCGAGTTGATTGTAGATTATTTAGTCCTCTGCTATTAGTCCCCTGAGGTGATTCTGATACACCAGGATTATTCTGATTGTTTTGTCTGGGAGATGTACCCTGGTTTGTTCCTTCACCCAAGTTTCTAAGCCACTCTGGACCAAATTTAATAGGAGTACCTCCACTCCCCATTCTGCCAATATTTTTTTCTGATTAAACCTGCGTAAAACTAAAACAAATCAAGTTTTAAATGTAATTTGGTTAAAATAATGTTCAGAATTGCTTTTAAATTTTTTTTGTATGATATGCAAAAAGTGTAAACAAAGCAATAGAAAATTCAAGTAATTATTTTTGAAACTGTCAATAGGAATGGTGGCTGTTTAAAGGGAATCTCACCTTTAGAAGTTTAGAACCTCTAACAAAGCCAATATGACCCCAACATAAGCAGGTTTAAGTATGTCTCATATCAAATAAGAAATAAAAAAAACAACAATCTAAAACCCCAGTCTAGTGACAAAAGCAAACTCAGGACCAATACTGCCTATTCCCACACACACTTGGGTTTAAGTTTCTTTATTTAGTATATTAGATTCTCAGGTGTTTAAAACTGAAATTAATATAGTAGCAGAAAATGCTGGATACTGAGGAAATGTAAAAACCACGTGGCATATATTCTTACCTATAGGTAAGAATATAATAGCATAATATACCAACAAGAGTGTTTAATGTGCCATGAAAACCTTATGAATGCTAACTGCATCCTAACAACATAAGGTTTACGCTGATCCAACACGTACAGGTCAAGATGGCATACTACATGTACGATATTAAACTTCAAGCGCTATAGCTTAACTAAGTAGCTACTACAAAATGCGTGTATACAGTATAAATATATAAAGATAATTTATTAAAAATATGCTTACCTGAATGAATCTTTAATATCACAAGCACGCCAGTCACGGACAGACAAATATGGCGGACAGTTCAGGAACAATAAAATAAGATGCAAGTGCAGACAACACGCGTATTCTAGAGAGTAAAGAGTGAAGTTGTAAGTTTGTTGTAGGAACTAGGAAGCAGCAGTACCAACCTTCGCACACGAAAAAGCAGTCTATGAAGAACCGACACTCACGTCTATCATTTAATTATGCAATCATCTCTCCAAAATGACATATAAAATCAAATATCAACAATGAATTATTTATTTATTATAAGAATTATAATGAATATATCATTTCGATATATTGCTATATCATCTTGATATAAAAATTCAAGTTGAAACTTGTTTATGTCTGCATACTGCTACACCACGCCATCCGACGCATGTCAGTACTTATCAATCCCATATATTTCATATGGTTAGGTTAAGGTGCGCTTACACGGTCAACCAAAATTGCTCAATTCCAGTCAATACTCGTCAACTATGACGTCACGACTACATCAAGCAATTTACGGCAACGGCAACAAGCATCAATGCTGCGCAATACAATATTGAGCGATATGGCGCAACTTCATCAACTAGGCAATACTGTCCTACACGAGCAATTCAGTATTCGCTCGGTACAGACGACATTGTTCTTGCTGCGGCGGCTTGTAGCGCTTTTTTTTATTATTAATCAAAAACAAAAAAGAAAGAAAAGGAATAGGCGTATCTGGGTGCGATCGTTTTTGGCCACAATTTTCATTGTGTAAAGAATCAGATGATATATTATTCAAAAACTTTACTAGAATGTCACGAACAGACTTTGAATTACTTTTGAATAAAGTATTGTCCAAAAAAAAAATTAATCCAAAGGAATTTCCAAGTCCATTGGATATTCGTCAATTTGTATCTGCGACATTGAGTGATATGAAATATCTGGAGCAATTATATCAAGCAATATCGCCGAAATAATTTATTGAAATTGCTCCATTAATTGCTCCAGATCGGTCCATTCGTGTCGCCGAGCATTTATTGCCCTCGTGTAAGCGCACCTTAACATATACAACACGCCATGTGATCACACGCGGTAACATCCAATCGATTTGGATCAGCGTGTTGTCGTGTTGTTGACGCCAAGCGTCAAACGTTCGAGTTTTTGGTACAAATGTCAATTTATATACTTACATATTTTTGGATTTATTGATTGGCGAAATGAACGACCAACAATTAAATGAGTTGGTGAAACAATATTCTGTTCTATATGACATGAGATTAGCTCAATACAGGACCATACTGTGAGAAATAATGCATGGGCAGAAATAGCCGAACAAATGAATACAAGCAGAAAGTTTTATTAAAATATTATATTACAAGACTTTTGTATGAGTTGCAAGTTTTTAATTTTGTCTACTTTTCCTCACAATATCAAGCTGCCACGGAACGGCGCCTTCACCACCAAAATATTCCTTAAATTTGTTTCTTACTGAAAATGCATACTGTGTGGAATTTCTACGAATTGGATTTAAGTCGTGGTGTCGCGTGTTGGTAATGTGCACGATGGATTTCGGGTGTCGACACGTTGCGTCGCGTGGCTTTTAGTGTATGTTTCCACCTATACGCTATTAAGTATTAATGTGACTTGACCGATAGTCGAAACCTATTAGACAACTAAGGATGAATTTAGTGTCACGCCAACCGCACGCGCACCGTCGGCGCTGATGGTCGAGATATATGAACTTCTAGAAAGCGTTTTTGAATGACGCGTAGCTATAAGCGCGCACGGTAGTCAGCGCTGATGGCTGCGCGGCCGTACGCCATGGCAAATCGCGAAGTGGATACAGGTCGAGTTATCAACGCATTTTGGTCTTCGTCTGTACAGTAAGGCGGTCAGTGCGACGCTGAGCGTCAGCGCTGACGAACTACGCGCTGATCTATGAGCGCTGACGGTGAGCGTGAGACTAAATTTAGCCTAAGTAGTCATAAGAGAGACGTAGTTGTGTCCCGCTTCATTCCTTCCTTTACGTCTTTTCCAGTGCTTCCATCTCTTTCTAACATTTCTTCACCCCACCACCAGGGCAGGGATCGGGGTCCCTCTTCGGAAGGCCTCGCTCTTCCTATTTCCTTGTTCACTGGCGTCTTGTTTCCCATCGTGATGTTAGTTTATTTGTAATCAGTACCAGAAACGAAAACGTCATCGTAAAATAGTTGGAGGGGGGCGGTTTGTGTGGAAACGTTCATCGCATGTGTGGACTATACCACGAAATTTAAGTTCGCACGGTTATAATATATCTGTTGAAATTTTTATTACGGCAGCTCCGTAAATCAAGAATTGAGAGCAACATTAGGGGTTCACGCTTTTCAGTATTTTACGAGTGCGCGTTGATTTGCTGAGCTAAGTCGAGGAAAAAGTCACACTAACGATGAGCCCCGCGTCCAAGATCGGCCGATTTCATGTGACTGTTCGTTTTGTACAACAGAAGATATGAAAATGTCCACATGCATTTGGGTGACCAAAGTGACTTCGCGCGCTGGATGCTCAAAATCCTTATGGAGATTCAGAAACAATCGAGACTGACAACTCCACATAACTGGTTGTTTGGTTTTTTTACTACAAAATCTTAACCGAGTTTTTGGATCAATTTATAACTATTGACAGAAATATGGCTTCTTAAGAACCGAAAATGAAAAAATCGTCCATGACTTGACAAGACACCATCATCTCAGCCATTCAGCAGGTATGATCATAGGCTGTTTTTTTTCTGGGACAGCCAAGGAGTAGTGATCGAATACCTTAATCGTGGAGACCAAAATTCACTATTACGGGAACAAATAACAAGATGATGACGTGATCAAAGGGATATGAGCCACAGGGCGAAATTCTTTCGCTAAATTAATTTAACCTTTTATGCTCCCAGATAATACCTGTCGAGAGCTGGCGCATGGGACATAGGTATATACGCACTACACAATGGCTTAAGAAATCAAATGAAATTCCCTAAAAAAATAGGATACCGGAAAGTATAGGTCTACCAGGATCTGATGGCAAAAAGGGAAAAAAGAAATTGACGCTAGCAATACTGGGGAAATTGGAGTACAACGTTTTGATACTTTATTTCCCTTATAGCGGCTGATTGTGTGTGATACATGCAAATATAAAAATTTATCCAATGATCAAGGATAATTTTTGAAAATTTTACTGTGGTGAATGTGGGGTTTGAAATTTAGATGAAAACTCCAATTACTCTGTTCATGAGTTTATTAATTAATTATAGGCTATTAGAACTTGAAAATGGTTCCAAATACTGCACATCCATAAAAAGTCTTTATGGAGAAGAAGACGCAGTATTTAGTATAAACCTATCCTCCTGCATCTCAATTAACTGATCTTGTTCTATGAACTGATTTTCAATTTTTATTACATGTTCACAAGATTTTCGCCATTCATCGATCCCTACTTGAGAGTAAGCTTCTTAAATCATTTCTCTGTTAAAAGTTTTATATCACTTGCAGGTCTATTGACGTTTTTAGCCGCAAGTTTTTGTTTTATTAGTCCCCAGATTAATTCTATGGGGTTTAATGTACAATGATATGGTGGGAGCCTCAAGACTTCGTGGCCGTGTGATTTAAAAATCTCATCTATCTGATATTTAGTTTTTTTTCAATTCTAAATCAAATCTATCCAAGTTTATTTTTTTTGCCACCTTTCCTCTTTTTACCGGGCGTACTAAATACGCCTCTGTTAGATCTGCCTTCGGCAAAAATTCATCTTATGGTAGTATCAGAAACCCCTGAAATAAACCAAAGTTTATATAAGTACATAATATATAATAAGTATCAAGACGTGTCATTCCTACTAACCAGTCAACACTTGCACATGGCTCAATATCGATGATTGTGTATGTTCTGCACCTTGTTGATCAAGTATTCTTTGATAAACATTGAAAACAATATTTTTTGCTTGCGATCGAAGAGTTTTTTTCGACATTTTCACCACTTTTTAAAGTAAATTTGAAGCCAAACCAAAAACAATTCCTCGAAATTTCAGATGACAGATGAAATTTTTTTTTTGTTGCCACATGCAAATTGCTAATTTTTAAACTTTTTTTTTGCCATCAGATTCTGGTAGACCTATAATTGCCATTGGCAATTGTCCAAGTAGAAATTCTTTCAGATACTGGGTGGCGCTAAAGAAAATTTGTTTATTTTTTTATATGACATTTCCTGTCATTCTGTTGTTGAAAATTGTGCAGTGAACAAACCCCTGAAATAA